CAAGGTCATAAGCCGAACGCAGATCGAATGATGGAAAAAAAAAATCCTGAAGCCCTTATCACAGTTGTCACTAGTTTTTCTAAAAAAAAAATTGTTCTGTTTTGATTTTAAATTTATTTCACTAGTAAACGAGTAGGTGAATGGACCTGAAAAAAAGTGGAGGAGTAAAGCCTAGTACTCATAACTGCGAAATTCGCATTTTTTTGACATTGCTTCGACAATTTGACGTTTGATACACGCATAAAACGTCAAGTTGTCAAAAAAATGCGAATTTCGCAGTTATGAGTACTAGGCTTTATCTAGGAAAAAAAAACGGAAACGCAAACGAATTAATTTTCTTTGACAATTATTTACGGCTATAACAATGAACTATAGCCAAAAACTGGAATGCGTACACATTAGTTGTATTCCTTTCATACCTAGGAGGAGCTCCAGAACAGCTCCGGGGCTTCACGCGCTTATTCCTTTCAAAAAGTGTTTGTTGCAACACGCATCTGTTCCCTGCAAATCGGGGGCGACTGAACACCGGAGCGAGTAGCTCGAGTGTTTCAAACTCTTGAAAGGAATACAACTATTGCCATATCTGCCAAAAAAATGAAGCCATGAACATAGAGGCCATGAAAGACAGATGTCACAAGGGGGAATGTTGTCCTTTTCTGTTGCTCGCTAACAAATGACGTTTTTGAAAGTTTTGTTATATTTACCTACACAAGTTTTATCAATTGGAATACGTGTTGAAAGCAATTTCCGCCATTTATCATAATGAGTGCGACAAATACAGGTATCCCCTCCCCAGCAGCGGCACTAGGCTTCACGTTCGTCAATATGTGTGCGCATTCAAGTTTTTGGTTATAGTTCATTGGGCTATAATTTTTCAAAAGTGACAGTTGAGAAAACCAAAATCTCTGGTTTTCCGGTTCTCCATCCATTCATACAGGGAAAAGAGATTCGAGCTCGGGATGTGCTCGATTGAAACCCGAACGCAAAAGAGAACACTCTGAGAGGTAAAGCGAACAGGATCTTATCGTTTCCAGCGCGCTCGGAGTTTACCGAGTGTGAAACTACTAGAATTTACTACTCTGAGTAACTACAAAATTGCTCATCGGCCTCAATTTTTGGAATCAAGGTCATATGTTGCCGACGTCATCAACAATGTCGTTAGCTGTTTGCGCCAGCGATCGTAGATTGGAATAATAATTTATGATGAGAAATATTTAATTTTGATAAACAAATAGGCAAAGAGGAAGATGCAAACGAGATCTAAAAAGGGTTGTTTTAGAAAATGTACTAAAATCCAGTAAGTAGGTATTCATAAAGCAAAAGCCAGACTTTGGCATGGTGCCCGTGGAGAGTTTAAGACGTTTAAGATTTCAAGTTTAAACTACACAGGCCTCATAACGATAGGCTATCCAGTGTGTAATATCCTTGGGCGAAACCTATTTTTGCTGCATGCATGTGTTGAGCAAACAGAGTACAGTTGCGATCAAAAAAAAGTAGTACAAAAACTATTAACCCCGATTTTAGCTCCCGGTGTAACATACAAAATTTTGACAGGCAATGACATATTCTAGGTTAAAAAGGGGTGGAAAATTGCCAAAGTAATGTCATCTGAAGCTTTCTAGGTTAAAAACTTGTCGAAAAATGCCAAAAATATGTCATTTTTGGTTATGAATTAAATGAATGTATAATATAGACAAAGAGATTTTGGAAATTTTTCTTGTACTACTTTTTTTTGATCGCAACTGTACCTATACCCAGATAACACAAAACTACATTAAAAGTACTTCAATTGTACTGTATTTTCACATTTGCATGCCTGAGAAGTACTTGTGAAAACCACTCAGCCGCTTCTGGGATGTCCAGCCGGCCAGTAAAAAAAAGGCACAATCGTAGAAGCACTGCAATTGCGCACTTCCAACATGGAGTGCTCTAAGTGCTCCAAGCGTACGTTGGAAGTATTGGTGAAATGCTACATAAAAGCACTTCTCCGACAGAGAAAAAGCACCACTAGAACATCTTTTTTTGGTAAATTTATATTGTACTCTTAAAGTACTTCATTGAAGTATTTTTTGAGTACATTTTTTATTTCACTGATAGCCCGTTGCAAATAAAAAACAAAAATTTTGGAATTATGATCTTTTATTAATGGGGTTTTTGGAAGCTATTAAAGTACAGGGGGTACGTGGCTCAAATGAGAAAATAAGATGCGCAATTAAAGACTTATTAATTCATACATATCGGAGTCGTGTTGGGGATGGAAAATTTGAAATGACAGATTTCAAATTTGGCAGCTTCGTCGGGTACCTATAGGGAAAAAGATTCATCTAATAAAGTGAACTTATTTTGCAATAATATCTTGTCGAATAGGCCCTAAAAAAATTGAAACGATTTTGCAGAATTTCGTTAAATAAACAGTGAAAACATAAACACACCCACCACGCATGCATTACCACCTACAAGCACCACATACAGCGCAGAACGAAATAGTTTGGATTAACCCATAACTAATATTTGATAATTATCACTCACTTACCCTTTGGAACTCATTATTCTTCCAGTGAAACCGAAAACACGCACAGAACCCAAACACGTACGAAACTAAATGCCCTAAAATGCAAACATTAAAAATGGCGCAATAGCGGCAGCCGGCAGCTTCGGCTCAGGCTTCCTTGCTTCTGCTTGCCTTCTTGTCGCTTTTTTATCCCTTTCCTTCCCACATTTGATATGTGTGGTGGGGGTTGCACCACCTGCACGATCGGAGTATCTCTAAAGGTACGATTCCGAAAGCGACTACAGCAACGAACCGCAACTGCAGACCGCGGACGACAACCGCAAAGTAGTTGCCGCTTGCGGTTGATTTGTTTCTGAAAGCATCCGCAGCAGCCAACTACTTCTTCAATTCAGTCTATATATAACCAGAGAAAATGTCTGATGTGTTCGACCCTCGGGATATTTTGAGCATTCTATGGGAAGAAGAAGACGACGACGACCTTTCGTTGTTACATTATTCCAGAAAAAGAAGAAAGCATACGATACCATTATTTAAAACTAGAAAAACGGAAGGCAGTTATTCAGTGTTGATTAGAAATCATTTGTTTGAATATTTGGCCACGAGATTGATAAGTTTTTCTTCTTCCGCATCGGAAAAACTAATTTTCACCAATTTCAACAATCTGCAGTCGAGCCAACTTTTTTTTTTTTTTTTTTACGGATATGCGCACTCGCAAGGAAATGTCCTATCACGCTCGAGAAGCGGCAAGTGCGCGGAAATGTCGGTGTATGTTGGTCTTGAAACGGTTCAGGTTGTAACCTGCAGGGAAAACCGTCGCAGGGAGTTTATTCCACTGCGATGCTGTTCTCCAGAGATATGAATTATGATATAATGAGGTTCTTGGTGCCTCTAGTTTGACAGTAAATTCATGGTTACCGTCTGTTTGACGGGTTCGCCTGGTAGGAGCTTCTCTCGGTGGAATCATACGTGCCAACTCTTCAGAGCATTTTCCGTGATAGTACCTGTAGAAGAGAGATAAATCGCCCACAGATCTGCGATGTTCGAGACCATCCAAGTTACGAGTAAGTGCCGGGTCATTGATCAGCTTGATAGCTCGTTTTTGCACGGTATTCAAAAGCATTAAGGTATGTTTGGGTGCTGCACTCCATATATGTGAGCAGTACTCCATAGTTGGTCGAATCTGGGCTTTGCAGAGTGTCAGCAATTGGCTTGGTGTGTACAGATTTCTTGTACGAAATAGCACCCCCAGTTTTTGGGAGGCCCTTTTAGCAATATCTGCCACGTGACTGTGTTGAATGTTCAACTGAGTCTGTAATGTGACAGCACTTCCAGATAGCATGATGTTTGGCTCACTGGTGCTGGTCTTTTTTGAAAACAGAGCTGCTTGGGTTTTCTGTGCGTTGAACTGTACAAGGTTTTTGTTACCCCAGTCCTCTATTATCTCCAGGTCGTTATTTATCTGCGATATTTGAGTTAGTCTAAGATGATGGAATTCACGTGCGGAAAGACCTGTGGGTGGTATGAGTGAGGAGACTACATTGCCATCGTCTGCAAAGCAATAAAGTGGATTTACTGTTTTATCTATGAGGTCATTTATGTAAATCAGGAAAAGAGTTGGCGAAAGGATTGCTCCCTGTGGCACACCAGCATTTATTTGGTAAGAGTTGGAGTTCTGGCCATCCAGTGCAACATGAATGGATCTGTCCTTTAGGTAACTTTCAAACCAAGTGCAAAGTTTCGGCGATAATCCCATTGCTTTGAGCGTGTTGAGCAGATTTTCATGCCAAACTTTGTCGAATGCTTTAGATATATCTAAGGCAATTGTTCTTGTTTCACCCCGCAACTCAATCGTTTTTTGCCATAAGTGAGTGACGTATGTAAGTAAATCGCCAGTTGACCTATATTTTCGAAATCCGTATTGCTTATCGTTGATAACTTTTGTACACTACTCGTACTGGTTCAAGAGTGGTAGTACGGTCTGCGGTGGCGGCATGTCGCCGCGGCAGGCAACAGTGGCGATGTGTTTCGAATATGTTTCATTTGATTTTGTATTAACCAGTAGTGCCTGCGGTCGCGGTCTGCAGCCTGCGGTCGGCTGCCTGCAGCCTGCAGTGATGTTCGGAATTGTACCTTTAACCTATAAATTAATCACTGCCGACTGCAGCCTCTCTCATGCGGTTTTGCAGTGGTTTTCCTGCACATTACAGATCATTCAATTTAAAAGTTGAAATAGGAGCATTTCTTCGATGCTGCGAGCTTACTTTGATTTGGTTTGTTTTATTATACGCACTTTTACCATATTTCCAAAGCATTACCATTGAAATACTATTTTCTCTAAAGTCGGCCGGAACTTTTCGAGCACATTGACGCACATTGTGTTATCTGGGTATCTACCGGTACGCCTACCCTTGAAATGAAATACCAAATTACCTAACGCTAAATAAAACACATTATCTTATTTCTCTTCTTTTCCTTTAATCAAAGCTATCGGTTCTTGATTCCCTACAACGAATAAGGATAATAACACACTACTACTACAGGATAGCCTATCCTCATAAGCCCTGTGTAGAACAAATCTGAAGCCCCCCACCACGTCAAATCGCAAGTTGTGACGTGGGCAACATATCGTTTCTCGCCTTGACGTAGGCTGTTTGCACCACAGGTTATGATTCCGCGGGCTTTTGCTTTATATACTTGCTTTTGCTACATTAATTAACATTCTAAAACAACTTCTTTTTAGATCTCGTTTCGACCTTCCTCTTTGCCTCTTATGTTAATCAAAGTTAAATGATGCCTATTTGTCATCATACATTTAAATTCTAAACTAGGACCGCTGACGCAAACAGCTGACGACATAGTTGATGACGATGGCAATGGTGATACACCAATATGGCCGCGATTGCCAAAAACGAGGCCGATAAGCAATCCTTATAGTAGTGTGTATTATCCTTGCCTTACAACAATGTAATCTCGGTTTTAATGCAGAGCTTAGCGATACCTGCTCATATTCCAGCGCTGCCGCAAATATTCATAGAATCTCAAACTGTTTTAAGGTAATGCCAGCACTACTCTTCATTTAGAAACTGTTTTGGGGAAAGCCCCAGCGTCTAAAATGGTTTAACGGAAGCATGAACTTGGTAAATGTGCAGGTTCAGTTTTTCAGGGTTTAGGCATCATCTACAAAATGACAAGCTTTAAATCGCGGGGACAGTTTCAACTTAACGGAGAAGCAAAAGAATCATGTTCAGTAAAAAAAAAAACAGATGGATAGTTATACCGCAAAATAGATTCGAATCAACTTTCAAGTTATGAATATACCTACCATTTCAATGGAAAATGTTTTAGTTTATCTTTTCGACTTTCACATCAGAATTGAGAGTGCTATTTCGAATAGATATCATCAGCAAGTTCTGATAAATGGTGCTAAATGCAGAGTTTAAAAGTGAACTATTAGTAAGATCAAAACCTGTTAACGTGGTTCAGGCACGAGTAGAAGTAAAAAATCTGAGAGCCAGACACGATAGATGGATTGAGTTAAATCCGAACCACTTACTTTAAACTTTAAACTATATCTGCAAGACTAAACTGTTGGTATTCACCAGGTATTTCTTGCTCCGTCATACCTACAGTATAAGACTACAAGACGACGTAGTGATGCACCATGATGGGGACAGAACTCTTTTGAGCTAGACATTCAACTAATTGAAACTAGGTTTTTGAGATTTTTTTTTTAATTTCTCGCTTTCTTAATGCTACCAAAAATCAACCATTTATTCGATATAGCTTGAACTTAAATTGAGCCAATGTTAAGTTATAATTGTACCTGCAAATCTGGAGCAAGATTTCTGGAATCTTGTGCACTCGTAGCAAGTGTATTGTGGTATTTGGGATGTGCATGAAGAAAATATAAATTATCCACCTACTTCTATTAACTAGTGTATACTTAAGATACTGTTCAACGATCAATGAAACTTAATCAATGTAATGCCCCGTGTAATGCACAACCAATAGAAAAAGCGGCCCAAAGCGAAGAGAATGATTTCGTTCAGTAACAAAAACAACAATCTCTCTATAAATTAACATTGCACCGGGATGCCCAAAGCGTGCAGAAAGTGCCAAAAGAGAAGATATTGCCTTAAACGACGAATAATAACTCTAATATCTTGCCAATTAATTTTTTTTTCTAGCTGATGGTGACACGGAAGAAAGAATTTTGGTTTTCGCTAGGAATTTTTTTTCTTTACACGAATAACTAACCAACTTCAGTAAAAAAGAAAAGAGAAATATTTGCTATAATACTATACTCAGGGTAAGTACCTATTTATCTATAGCAAGAACCTGTGTCATTTCACATCAAATTCATCAGACAAAATAAGCAAAAAAAAAGTATTTATGGCTGTGTAAGGTCATAAGTTTGAAGACCTTTTGCTGTTTTGATGCTACCTGCACAGATTGATAAACTAACTAGGGAATCCCAGACTTCAAATGTACCTACCTAAGAGAAAATACTTACTTTTTAATTCGCTTATAATGACACTCGAAGGCAGCAATTTAATTACAATATTTACGAGAAAACAAAAACATTTAAACGCGAATAGACTATTATTAATTGTTGTAACTGTTCGTTTATTAAGTTTAGTGCTTTATCACTATTTTGTGCTAGACAAAACATTCAAAAAAGCCAATTAAAACTGCATTAGCTTGCATCAAGCATCATCGCATTCATCAGCATTATGAATCATTTTTTATTTTTTTCTTCGGAATGTCTGACGAATTTGTTGCGAAATATTGCATTTTGCATTAATAATATTTATTTAAAATACATACATACAAGTACATATTTCAGTTTATTTCAGATTTTTTAATTTATTTAATTTTACAAGCCCAATTCGCAGTTTATTAAGGATTAGGTAGGTACTTTAGTTTGAATTAATTCCACAGCTGAAATGCAATTTATTTAATTTGAATACAAGCAAGAAAACAAACTAAGTAGGTATACAGGGTGTTTGGTTGGTCGATGCATATATTTTGGGAGGTGATATAGTAAGTCATTTCGAACCTATTTAGTTTTTGGATTGACATAAGACTTTTGAAGTAAAGTAGAGATATGTTGTGAATATCTGAAATCCGAATCTATCCACAGTCCCAGACTCCTACAATAGTTGGAAACATTTAGAGTGGTATTATTGAGACAAATCTTAAACTTGTGATTTATTAACTGCACTCTATGGCTCCCATAAACCAACATTTCTGTCTTCAAGCTATTTATTTTTAAGCCGTGGGTGCTAGAGAGTTCATAAATCGTTTCCAGGTCCTTATTAATGTTTTCGATGGCCAGTCGGACATTACCTATGGGAAAAGAGTAGTATAGTTGCTGATCATCAGCAAACTGGTGCGAATTACAGAATTTTAAAAAAGTTCAAAAATCAGCTGTATAGATGGAAAATATCAGAGGGCCTAACATCCTCTCTTGGGGAACATCTTTTTCCAAAGTAATAAACCTAGAATAACTACCATTAAAAGAAACCCTCTGCCTTTTAAACGAAAGATACTGAAAATATTGATGCTGTTCTGATCAAATCCAAAATATTTTAGTTTCAAGTAAAGAATTGGATGAACTATGGTATCAAATGCTTTGCTATAGTCAAGTAAGATAAAGACAGTTTGGAGTTTCTGATCGGAAGCCGAGAGGATGTCGTCAGTTACTTTCAGTAAAGCCGTTGTTGTACTATGAGAAGCCCGAAAACCAGATTGTGTAGGGGGAATTATTCCGTTGGACAGAAGATGCTCGATTATTTGAACTGCAACAATCTTTTCGAAAACTTTGGACAGAATAGGAAGTAAACTTATAGGGCGGAAATCAGTCACTTGTCTGTGAGACGGCTTTTTAGGAACTGAAACCACTTTTGCATCCTTCCAGGCTTTAGGAAAATACCAATAGATAAGCACTTAATAATAAGATAGGTCAAGTGAGGAGAGGGCTGGAATAAGAAATGATAAACTTCTCAAGTCAATGCCGTCCTCACCCTTAGAAGAAAATTTCAGATTTCTAATAATTGATTCAACAGTAGAAATGTCAACCACTTTAAGGCTGAAGACGCTTTTACAATTTGAATAGATGTGGGATTAGTGATGGTAAATTTCCAGGAATATTCCTTGGAAATATTCCCAACAATATTTCCAAAATGGGAATTTTCAGGGAATTTTCTGCTTTAAGTGAAAACCCCTATTTATAAGAGCAGAGTTGTAGAGTAATGTGTGAAATGTGCAATAAAACACTTATTTGTCAGATTTGCAAAAGATAATAAAGATAAAAATAAGGAACAGACCCTGTATGTTATCGTCGAGGTTATCGTCATTTTGTTCAGATCTAGAAGGATCACCACTCAAACTATCAATTTCTTGTTGTTTGTTGTTTACACTCACCAAATAGTGCGGTTTTAATATTCAGACTCGACACAAAGTCAAAATAAACATTCCAGCGCTACCAGCGTGAATAAACTCACATAAAAAATAAATTCCCTGTAACGGAAATTTATTTACCCTTCGAGGAATATTCCCGGGAAAATTCCCATTTTGGAAAATTTCCAAATTGGGAATATTCCCTTTGCCCATCACTATGTGGGATTGATACTTATTCAATAAAGCGGCGTCGATACCAAAATCATTGTCCAAGTTACAATGTGATGTAAAAGAAGTATTAAACCTATCAGCATCCCCAATGTCGGTAACTGACTCAGTACTTTTTGTTATGTTCAAGAATAAGGCAGAATCCAACAAAATTCCTAAGGCTTTTATATTCTGAGAAATCAATGTCAGAATGAAATTTTTTATACTTAACAAACGCCATGTCTCGTAATTTCATTAGGAGTCTAGTATTTTCACTAATCCATGGAGCTGGCGGTTTCTTAATATTAATGCGTACATTCTTAAAAGGAGCATGCAGATTGAACAACCAAACAATATTATTATTAAAAAAGTTCAACGCTTCATCCACATCCTCCAGGGCATGAATAGAATCTCAATGAATGCCCTACGACTTGGGAATTTGGTGCATTAACATCAATAAAGAAATGTTCCTTCAGAGATTTTGCATAATGGGTGTAGAGATAATTTGAGCGTAGAACCCGGATTCTAATTAAATTTTTGACTTCCGCCGTCAAGTGAACAAATGCTCCCGAACAGGAGTCAAATTGAATCAAAAACCACACAAATTAAAATTACTGTCTCTTATGACGTTAACATTAATTGTCTAGGAAAACCCCATTTCATACCATGCAAACAATTCGCACTATAGGTAGGTACCTATTATTATTTAAAAAAAGATAAAATTATAAATATTATATAAATTAGATTTAAAATCAACAAAATAACTTGTAGACTAGGACTTTTGGAAGGAAATAATTTCCCAATTGCATTTGAGCAAATTTAGGAGGCGAATATAAATGATGGGATATCTCTTTATTAGATTGGTTTCCTTCCACCACATCCAGGATCCTAAGTTGAAATGTATTTCCACAATTAATTAAATTTTAATTTTTGTGATAAATCAATAAAATAACACACATTAATTAATTGTATTGATTAATATAAACTTACTTATTTTATAAGTCAGCTGTCTTATTGTCTATGTAAATTATAATAACGGATGCTACGTCCTAGTCTATAGGATTTTTTTTTATATTTAGTTATTTATCTTAACATCCTCAAATTCATTAATAATATATTTGCATGGGATTTTCACTAGGTACTCATTTTTCCATTAGTTACAAAGTCACAGCACTCTATAATTATTTGTTTTCTGCTGATATGAAAACCTCAGCATCCTGCCCTATAATAGTTCGAAAAAAAAACAATATATAAACTAACGTTCTATTGTATTCTATTTCATTATAGGGTGAGACTTCAATTTGAATTTGTTACCTAAGTGAGTGAAAGAACATGACGGGAAAAAATGTAAGTAGAAAAGACAAACGCATGATCATTGCGCATGTAGGTATTAACAAACTGTCGACCCTTCCAAATTTTGGATTTGAATTTGACTACAAAAAAGCTAATTTTTTAAAAAAACTTGGTAATAAATATCTAGTAACTTTTGCATATTATTTGTTTTGTCTTAATTTTTATGGTTTTGTCTATGAGACGTGTCTGCGTGCAATTGCTGCGAGAAAGGCTAGGTCAAGAATCTTGAGAAACGGGTGGAAGGGCTATTATTTAAGTCAATGAAAAGCAATATTACATTCACCTGCCTCAAAAAAAAGCCTCACAAGCTTTAATCAGATGGAAAATAAAAAATAATTTGTTAAAAATTACTTTCTATATGCGCTCTGGGGGAAATACAATTTTGGTAGGTAACTTTTTTAAGTTTCTCACTCTGTTTTCAGTTTTTGTGCGTTTACGTCGGAATTCATGACACCAAAACAAGATATTATTGAACTATAGGTAACAGAGACTGATTTAGCCGATACTTCATGGAAATTCATTACAAATTTTGAAAGGAAACAAAAAAGTTTCTAAATTTCCACAGTTTTATTTAAATCAAACCGTAACCGTATTATGGGAATCTAGCACATAGCACATCTAGAAACTTGTTTATTTCCTTCCAAAATTGATTATTAAATTTAATCAAAAATGTTATAAATTAGAGATTGGCAATTTTTCAAAGATTGAAAAAAAAAACTTAATTTTCTGTCTTCGAACCACAACACCCAACAAAGGCATTTTTAATTATTCCTTCAAGCTTCAAGGCATTTTTTTAGTAACACAACAAGCAAAAAACTGATGTCTGTGAAGTGAACTGCTAGTGTTGCTATTTTTTTTTCATACCTACCTATACCTACTCATAAGATTTTACCAGATATTGCAACATTTTCTATTTATATGTAGGTATAGTGATATTTTCCATAGGTACCTCCTACCTACTTGAACATGAATCTGTCTTCAACATTAGACACCTTCATGTTTTTTTCATTTCTATTATTTGTTTTAGCTGCAGCTCTATCTAATGATTTTCCTAGCACTCAATGCTATGATTATCATTTCTGCCAAACCGATAGAAGATATTTTGGAAGACCACAATGTAGGTGCTTTTGGAGAATCTGCACAAAATTACCAGAATGCTATCAAAAAAGGAGGAGGCTCTAAGGGAGGAAAGGGAGGAAAAAAGTGTGGATAAACATTTGAGAAATTGTTCTTCGAATACAAAATGCAACAATAATTATTGAAGTAGAATTGTTTTAATTTAGTCTTAGAATATTTGGAAAATTTGGCATCCCTAACACTAACATAATTTTCCATAATTGAGTGTATTACAAAACCAAAAATACTTATTTATTATTGTTACCTAAAGAATTGTTCACTTTTAACAATATAAATAATTGCCTGTCAATAGAAAATCGAAAACAATTAATTCATTAATGGAACCACCGAATTACCGTAAAATCCGCCATAAACCTGAATTGTTTTATCAAGGCTAAAACTAATTGTTTTGCATCATGTCTTGGCTTTTTATTTGTTTTCTTTTTTGATTTTGTTAAATACCTACTCCTTAATAATGCCAATAAAAATAGTAGCGTAGCAAATATTTTGTTTCAAAGAAAGACGTCCGTCACCCGATCATACAAGGGTATTCCCCTTATACCAGCCTAAAAATAAAAGACGTGCTATAATTTTTAAGACAAACACAACATTTTTGATGTCCTCGAGGATTGCAGAAATAACGAGCGAATAGTCGTAAGAAGTGAATAACCTGATTCCTACTGACATGCTGATACATACATCTGTAATGTTCAGCCTAGAAAAAAGTCTTCTGATAAATTATACCAGATTGGATAATGAATAATAAAAGTTAATAATTATATTTGTATAAACTACTTACTTTGCAAAATTAGCATACCTATGCAAACAGAAATATTCCAGGATCATTTCTCAACTGTCATAGGTTGTAGCAGTAGGAACCGGTACTACAAACCTATGACAATGATTAATGGGACACATCAAAATGTTCTTTGTTCCCTACATTTCTTTTGGCAGTAACATAGTAACAACTCCCAAACGAGGATGAAATATCTCAAATCTTAGATCAGGGGCAAAAACAGTCATAGCGTTTCCATTTGTCGAACCAGTGCAAAAAAAATGCATCCTTAACCTTACATGTTACATGCTTTTAGAAAAAGATGCGGATACACTCAGTGCACACTGATTGACAAATGGAAATCGCCATTAATCGTATTAGATCAAAATACACATGATGGCCGATGGTCCAACAAATACGGAAATTTATAAAATGATGCAAAGCATGCCAAATGCATTATAACAGGATAATAGACCAATTCCTGCTAATATCTAAAACAATACCAAAAACGCCCTCCGAAAGAATAAACATCGATATTTTTGAATATCGAACGAAGAATTATGCACTTATAATAAGAGACAAATTTGAAAAAAGTACTCAAGCTCATCCCATTGATGACTAATTAGTAAAAACACTGGTAAAAGTGTTTTATTTCACTCTCCTTTTCACCATTATGGTATCCCTCTTCAAAATACCTCGCGACCAATATTGTAATATGACAAAATAATATTAAAAGCAAAACTTATTGCTTCAAACCATACGAGCTCATTTTCGTGCACACATCTACACCATCTAGAATCACCTGAAACGCTCTACAACCAAAGAGAACATATTTCGATACCTACGGCACTTGAATAACAACATAGGAATCTCAGGAATAGATATCTAAAATTAAATTTGGTTAAATAAGATTGTGAACATCATGGGATATTTTTTGTGCGCTGGCCTCCGATATCTTTCGCCCCCATACATTATGGTCCAAGACTTCTATTCTCCATACTCTGACGCTTACCAGTTCCCGAGCGTCTTTTGCCACTCCATCTTCCCATCTCTTCCGTGGCCTCCCTTTCGGTCTTCTTCCAAACAATCAGCTGTTAAGTGCTCTGTTTGAAAGTATCTCCTCTGGCATTCTGATCATATGACCCGCCCATCGAAGTCTTTGAAGCCTGGAGAGCTTCTCCGACCGAACAGTTGGTATAGCGTGTTCTCCATATACCATTCTCATTCAAGCCCCTATATATTTTCCCGAGCATTTTTCTTCCAAAAAGCTTGCTTTTCAGGTTGTCAGGCTCATGACCCATGTTTCGCATCCATAACATAGAACTGATCTGATGATGGTTTTGTAGATACTGATCTTGGATTCGCGAGGGATGGTTCCAGAGAGAAATACGTGTGACAAAGAAAATAATGTCTTATTTGCCGTCTGTATTCTGTTTTGTATTTCGGCTTCCTCGTTCACACTGATGTGTTTATTTGAAGCTCCCAATCGCTTCACGCTCGTCCATTTGGGTCTCTGTCAGCGTCTTTTTTTTTGTGTGTGTTTATTTCGAGTCTGATGTTTTTGGCTTTTCTCTTCAAATTCATATATATTTCTGGTGTGTCTTCTGCTCTACATGATTTTGATGTCGTCTGCGTATGCCGCTAATTGTACTGACTTAGATGTTAATAGGTCTGATCTTCCTATACGCCTCCTTTTCTGATGGCTTACTCTAGCGTCAAGTTGAACAGTGTGGGAGCTAGTCCATCTCCTTGCTTGAGCCCTTTATTTATGTTGAACATGTCAGTCATGTCGTTTTGTATTCGCACTGACGCCGTTGTAGTGTGGCTTTAACTAGTCTGATATATTTGGGAGGGATGCTGAAGTGGTGGTGTCGTATGATCTTCTCAAGTCTATGAAGACGTTATGAATGTCGATATCATGTTCCCACACTTTACTAAGCATTTGTTTCAGCACAAAGAGTCAGTCTACTATAGAGCGATTCTGTCTGAAACCCGCTGGATATTCACCATTTATATTCTCTGAGAATGGTTGTGAACGCTTATTCAGGATATTATACGTGAATATCTTATAGGCAGTGCATAGGAAATTCCTCGATATGGTTCTCGCAGCTCAATTTGTTTCTTTTAGTAGGATGGTGTCACTTGAGCCTAGAAACTTTTTCAATACCGTGGGAAAAGCAGCAAACAACAGTGAAAACCAGCAAAATTCAGCACCAAACGAGCTAAACCAGCATGAAACCAGTGAAAACCAGTAAAATCCGCCGATTTTCCCACGGTATCGAAAAAGTTCCCAGGCTCAAGTGACCCTATACCTACTTCTTTTCTTGTAAATAGGGCAGAAAAAGATAATTCCAGTTCTCCAGTCTTCCGGCATTCGCTTTTCTGACCAGATCTTTGAAACCAATTTATGCTCTCCTGCTTTATGTGTTCCTCCCTTAGATTGTTTATTCCCTGTTTTGAATCATTCAGGGGAGTTTGTCAATTCCTGACGCCTTATTTGCGCTACGCTCTAATTTTCTGCACTTCCTCTTTTCCCATGTGTCTAGCTTTTCCATGTCTAGCATCATTTTTTTTGCGATCCCAATAAATTTTCGAAGTATTTTTTCCATGTGTCCTTTGTTGTGGATCACTAGTTAGGTATGTGTTCTTCGTTGTTTCTACAAAGGGTTTTGCGTGCTTTGTATCCTTCTCTCGAACTGCGTAGATGTTTATAAGCCGCCTTTAGATCATTGTTTTCAAAGTCACGTTCCAGTAGTTCCTTTTTTTCATATTCAGATTTTCTTTTTGTGGCATGTTTTGCCCTTCTTGCCTCTTCAAATGCAGATCCTCTTTCTCTTGTTCTTCTCATGACGTAAGCCTTGAGTTTTATTCCTCAACACTTAAAGTTTCTGTGTTTGTGTTTCTTCGGGAACGTTCTTGCTTGTACCTTTGGGAGACTTTTTCAATCTTAAGCTGCCCTGATGTGGTTTCTGGATATTTTGCATTTGAACTTCACCTGCACCATTAGGTGGTTCCACAGCATGCTCCTCGTAGGCGTTTCACTTCAGTTGAGTATGCTTGCTGCTGTTCTTCTGTCTACGAGTACATGGTCTATTTGGTTAGTGGCAGCTCCACCTGGCATGATCCACGTTGCTTTGTGTATATTCTTGAGAGGAAACAGGGAAAAGCTTACAACCATATTGGTTAACAACAGCTTTGCTGAATTTCGCCGAGTCGAAAATAAAGGATTTATTTATTTATATTCTTCCTTCTAATATAAAATTGATTATAAATTCTTTATTCTGGTTGGTTCTTTCATGGAGTGAGGGTTTGCCTATATGGTTCCCAGAAACTGTTCTTCTCGGCCTGTTTGGGCATTCATGTCCCCTATGACAATTTTTACATCGTTTCTTGGACAGTTTTCGTATGCCTCGTCCAGTTGGTCATGGAATGCTTCTTTTTATCCAGATCTTATTCTGTTGGGCTATGGACATTGATGATGGATAGGTTGAAGAACCTGGATTTCAATCTTAGCTTGCACATCCTCTCATTTGTTGCCTTGAAATCCAGTATGTTGTTTTTAATCTTGTTGTCTATAATGAAGGTAACTCCGAACTCCTTCCTCTCGGTCTCCTTTCCGCTCATTGTATGGAATTTTGCGTCTTCGATTCCATTTCCAAGCCATTTTGTTTCATGAATCGCAAGTGATATTCTATATTTTCTGAGCTCATTGAGTAGCGGACATCTAGGCGCCTGGTTTATTCAGTACATCCCATGTTCCCAAAGCGTATTCCATATTTCTTTGCCTGAGCGAGGTATCCGTCCCGTGTTCCGAGGCTGGTTGATCGGATTCATGATAAGGATGTTTTTCCGGTGTGAGGTTGTCGGCCTTACGCCAAAGCTTCCTCTTTCATCCGGGCTCAGGGCTGGCAAGAGTGATTCCTGATTCAATTCACCTATTTGTCACCTCAGGCAGAATTATTGGAACGTGAAATTTAGCGTCAAATTGAAAGAATAATATCGGTATTCGGTATGCTACCATTTAACTTCAAGTTCAAAGAAAAAAAAGCCTTCACTGTAATTGCCTACACAAATATTCTGCTGAAACTACTACTAATGCCTTTATGGAAAGTACAAGAGTACATGCCAAACGCCTTATATCGACACGTACGTATATACCAGACAGTGGGATACAAAAATATTCCGATTGATATTTCATACTATCAACATTTTCCAGCGAAGTTTTTGATGAGAAATTGAACCTTCGAAATTATACAAAACCAAGATAGATTAGCTTAACATAGCTCAAAGCAAGATGAAGCAGTACTTAGAAGAGTAAGAATAGGAATGAGGGTTCACATCAGCTGCTTGTGAGCATAGATCACAAAAATGCTTTCAACTCGACAAAAAAGACACAAGTGAACCCAGGATAAAGATCGAGGACAAAAGAATATTTGAAATACCTGAGACTCACTTTCGACAGACAGAGGAACTACATAGAAAACTTGCGTGTCACTAGAATCAAAGTGGTAAAGCTGACCATGACGATAAAGACATCTGGACGAAGCGGCTAGAATTAGACCATGGCTTTTAATGACGAGCAGCGCATACGCCATTGTTCTGGCTCTAGGCAAAGGACGAAAGGCGAGATCAACAGGATTGATCTCACGATCTCCATATAGGTATATAGACAGACCGAAAGGCTAAGATCAACAGAAAAACGGAACCTTACGACAAGGGGCAGGCTCCAAAACCGTGGCGGCGTACTGGCACGTAGACGTCAGTACAAATCAAGAGAGAAGAACGGGCACTATTGTACATATTGCAATTGGGGACAGAATAGAACAGCGCACAAAGAGAGCTCCAGACAACATAGACAGAGCAAAGATCATGGTAAACTTTGAAGGATTGACCACATGACAGTGTTAACGGCAAAGTACAAACGATAGAGCAAATTATGAAACATAAAATAAAAGACAAGCTGACGGCGCATGTCTTGAAGCTAGCCGTAGAGACCGTAGAACAAGACAAAGGGGTTAGATTTACATAGAAAAAAGGCCTCAATGAAAATATACCTGATGGGAACAAGGCAGCAGACAGGCTGGCCAAGATTATCCTGTAAAGTTCCGAAACAGACAGGAACCTGCAGACCTATCTACACACGGACAGAGACACAATAAAGAAGGAACGAGAGCACAAAATTACAACACAATGGCAAAGGACATAGGATAAGAAAGATAAGGGCAGAGAGTTAAACAAACACTGCCAAGAAGTAGGGATGAACTGACATGCTTCAGCTTAGTTTCAAAGATACACAACTGTTAACAGGCTACGGAAGCTTCAAATACTATATCCTAAGTTTCAACCTGAAATAATCCGACGGGCAATGCACGTGCAATCAGAATGCGGCAAAAGACGCGCAACACGTCAAGAAAGAAATTATGTAGCATCGCCCATCCGAGGTTAAATAAGATTGGAGTATGACGACCTAGAGATTTATCTGAGACAGCAATATACGACAAACAAATAGGTAACAAGTGACAAAAATAAACAAATGGGCTAACATAGCAGTCACAGACACAACCATAGGCGATTAGCAAAGACACATAAAGTGCTAGAGAAGAAAATGAAACAGAGAACATACAATAGATAAAGAGACACATGAGCAAGCAAAGATCACAAACAAAAGACAAAAAGAAAGCAAACAGAAATAGACAAAAAAGAGGCTCATTCTCCCGTTAATTTGACCAAAACAAATGAAAATGAAATCGGACGCTCGGTTCACTCGCTATGCTTAAAATTCTAATGCTCCAATATGGGGCCAGTTTTTCCCAGATAGCGGATTTTTCCCAAGATAGATTTTTTTGGAATTTTGGGATTTCAATAAAGACATTATCAGTAACATTTCTACCAATTTTCAGCTTGCTATTTCCAATGTTCGGGTTCGTCCAAATTTTTGTCTTATTTGCCTACACTATCACTCCTCATAAGTAAAGTGTCAGATTAAAAACGACGGACAATACCATATGGGATGCCAAACAAATGTCTTCGTTTTTAAAGCATTAGGAATTTCAAAATTTGGTAAAATAGTTGAAGAGACTCTTGAGGAGAATTATGCAATACCCCTTTTTCTAAAAAAATAGGAACTAGATATAGATCGCAAGTACGAAAACTGGCAATTTTCAGGAAAAACGGAAAAAGTTGAAGAAAAAAATTTCGACATTGATAGACACGCGAGAAACTACTAATTATTTTCTCAGAGCATCAGCTGAATAAAGTCCAAAGAAATAATAGAAGCACCTTTTCAAATTGAATACCTACCTTTAGTAATTTGAAATTAAGAATAAACTCGTGCAGTTTCCATAAAACCACGTATTCATGGAAATATGGACATTTAGCGGTATTCTTAATGCAATATTTTACGCTAATTTATGAACGCCACTTACCTAAATCCAAGGATTTTTTCCGATACCTACCACAGTCGCGGTCTTTGACAATTAAAAAGAACCCGTAAACAAGATGATTCGCAAAACAAAAAAACTATGAATCAGAGAAAGAAGAAAAAAATAACCACTTTCAATGAATCCTGTCTTATAAAAACAGAACGATGCTGAAGGAGCATACAGATGCTGTCGTTAGTCGTGATTAAATAGGTCGGTGAACCAATATTGTGTGTTACGATATATCGTAAAGAAAATGATCAAAGTAAGTTTTAAAATTTTCATTTCCTCTTATTGAATTTTTTTTAAAAATAAGTATTCTCTTAATTCCTGAATAAGTTAACAATAATTTAATCCAGATAGTAATAATGTAGCTCTTAAATTGATTCAGCATGAATGAAGTAGTCTAAGAAATATACTTTTCGTCATATTGTAGTGTTATTATATTTTCAAATATTTTCTTTCCTGTTTAGGAAGTGATTATTTTACTGGTGGGCTTTATAGCCTTGGGCTATGCAATTCCAGTAGAAGAAGAAGCACCTGTGGTTGGAAGCGCTGTAGTTCCAGTTGCTGATGATCTTGAAAGTGACGATTTAGCACCAGCTGCCAGTGCTTGGGGTGGCGGTGGATGGGGAAGGAGGTGAGATTTTCTTTCTTCAGATGAATTCATTAGTGAAACACATTACTTCTTGGCACATACCTAAATACATTTTTTTGTCGCAATTTCTGGCCTTAGCGATTGGAATTATTACTTTGAATAATCCAGAGTTTTTTCTTGCTTTGGAACCAATTTTTGTGTGGGGAACTTTTTTATTTTGGTATGAATTTTAAGAAATATAGCTAGTATAAGTACCTACTATTTTGAAAAGTAGAATTTTAATTTTCCTAATATTTCTATTACTTTTACACCTTTAAATATCCTATTTAAATATATATATTTTTTTGTTTCAGATATGGCGGATGGGGTCATAGAGGCGGTTATGGTGGTGGATGGGGTGGCGGTTACGGAGGCGGATGGAGACATAGAGGATATGGTGGTGGCTGGGGCGGAGGCCACGGAGGTGGATATTGGGGATAAATAAAAAATAATGGCCATTTACTTAGATTAGTAGTATTACTGTTTTATTTTTATTTTTAAATGTCATTTTGTTTGGTCAGTATTTGAAAATTATGTGATTTTTTTTGGATGAATAATAATACATATTGAAAATAAAAGAGTTTTTGTCAAAACATTATTACCTGTGGTTTATGTTTTACTTGAGTTGTGTCATAGATGTTGTGTATCTCCAGATAAGCCTCAGTTTTCTAAATTAATTTTACTTTCTTTAGTTAGGTTTTCAAGTCCTTCCTGTATTATACAGTGTGTCCACTTAAGTTCGCAGCATATGGGAAACTTTTTTATTATCAATTTTACGAAAACAAGTTATTCTTTATCAAAGTATCTGCTTCTTGAAAAAATAGTATTAATCTATCAAAACTTGAAATAGCATGTACAGGGTAATTTTTTATATTTTCCCACCCCCCTTAACTCTTTTGTGCTAATAGGAAATTTGAAGTGCTTAAAAAATAGTTCTTAGAAAACATAGTTTTGTTCATACAGGGTGTTGCAAAAAGTTTAAAAAACAAAAAAATATATATTTTTAAATGGGATACCCTGTATATTATGACATTTCTGGATTTTGCGGAAAATTCTAGACATACTTCATGTATAATGTCATATACCTATCTCGAACTGTTTCGGAAATAATACAGTAGAAAATTGACTTTTTTGTAACTTTGATAGGCTGTAAAACCTAAACTGTTAATTTTACAGCAAAACCGATTTTACATTCTTGTCGACAGCTTTTCATAGGCTAGCATTTGACACCAACTTTGAATTTAACCGGAGATTAATTTAATTGGAATTTTCAATCATGGATTAAATTCAAAGTTGGTGTCAAATGATATTTTATAAAAAAATAAGAAAAGCATGTATGATCGGTTTTGCTGTAAAATCAACTGTTTAGGTTTTACAGTCTGTCAAAGATGCAAAAAAGTCAATTTTCTACTGTCATTATTTCCGAAACAGTTGAAGTTGGGTATATGACATTATACATGAAATATGTCTAGAATTTTCCCCAGAATCCAGAAATGTCATAATATATAGGGTGTCCCATTTAAAAAAATATATATTTTTTTAAAAACTTTTTGCAACACCCTGTATGAACAAAACTATGTTTTCTGAGAACTATTTTTCAAGCACTACAACTTTCCTATTTAATTTTTTTTGTATACACAGTGGCACAGAAAAGTTAAGGGGGGTGGGAAAATATAAAAAAATGACCCTGTACAGGGTGATCAGAAAATAGAAAAATATCGAGGATTTTTTGGTAAAAGTAGAAAAAAAATGGCACGTCACTATTTTTTCAAACTTTTGATATTTTTTTTAGATTGAGCAAGTCATATTTCAGTCAAAAGATACCTTTCGTTATCACAAATAAACCTGCCAAATTTGAAAAAAAAAAAATTTGAAACGGGATTTTTGAGCTGAAAAAACAATTTTTTTCTAAAACTTTGACACCCTGTATCTCAGAAACTACACATTTCCGGATACATGTTTATGGGAACTTTTTTCCTTAAAATATTGCAAGGAATTACATCCTAAAGTTACGAACCGTACTTAGAAAACACCCTGTATATTTTTCTATTTTATGACCACCCTGTACATGCTATTTCAAGCTTCAATATGTAGTTTAATATTATTTTTTCAAGAAGCAGAAACTTTTATAGAAAATAACTTTTTTTCGTAAAATTGATAATAAAAAAGTTTCTCATATGCTGCGAACTTAAGTGGACACACTGTACATTTGATTTATCCGATGAAATAGTCCGTCACTATAGGTAAGATTTTCATATAGCGAAAGTTTGAGTTCGTTAAACAACTAGAAGACACTTAAGTCTAGTGGTGTAATACTTATTATTAATACAATAACTGCTGAAAGTGACAATGAGTATTGTTGGTACATGCAACGTACAAGGAATCTGTAAGAAAATAAATGGAGTGATATCAGAGATCGAATATCAAAAAATGGACCTGATTGTCGCCACAAAGACCAAAAAAAAAGGAGAAAACTGAAAAAATCTGAGAGAGTACGATCATTTCGTCAGCGGAGCTTAAAAAGAAATGAGAGAGCAAAGAAAGTCTCGATTATAATAATGTCACGGATTCCAGGTTCACTTCATAAACAAGCAACAACTATTAGCTATCAAACAATTCAACTTTATATAAAATTCACTAATCGAAACGTACACGACAAATCTCGAATTTAAACTGCATCTTACTTTTATTTAGACAGACTCAATACTTATTACTACGCGCTAGCCGAAATCGTACTCCGGATTTATCTAGAAAATGTTTATCGAATTGAATAGAATTCCAAAAAAAAAACCGTGTTTCCAGACGTAAAAAACAAATTTCCGAGAATCCTGGTCGGGTTGTCGATGCATTTTCGTAACAATACATAGGAAATGAAGGAAACATATAACATCATGGGAAGCAGTAAAGGAAACAATAATAAAACTAAATGTAGGTATGTATGTCTGGAAGGAAAATAACAATTTTAGGAATATATGGAGTGAGTGACCGACGATGAGCTCGTAAGTATAAAAGATCAAATATAAAACTCCAGGATGTGAGAGCATATAGGGGAGCGACCTGCGGCACTAAGTAAGGCCACTGCCTGATGAAAACAAAAATCCTTATCCTTGGGAGAAACATTGCAAGGGACAACTCGTCGGAATAAATATGGACCTAGTAGACAAAACAAAGAAGGGGGTAGGTGATTCCCCAAAAACACCTCAAAACATGGAAACACCAGGAGATTCAAAGCCTCACAAGAGCAGTGGATGAAGAATCCACACTTCTAGTATCTACCGACGACGAAATCGGCAAAGATCCAAACACCCTGTAACTAAAGAGCAAAAAGATCAGGCTGAGCGGCGCAAAAAGAAACAGGATGATGTTCCTCATCAGCAAAGGGCTTATCGCAGATGAAGCCCGTGCCATTACCGACTAGGGAGAAGTCGCAGAAAGCCAGCAGAAAAAAAATTACGACCATCTGGGAGAGGATCTCTTCTGAATGGACCCTAGAGTAGAATACACCAGAAACGGAGGCGAGAAAAAAGGCTAAGCAAAAGAAAATGGGCAGCAGTGCTTCAAGTGAAAGCCTGTAAGCCAATCTTCAGCCAAATAGCTGGCGGCAAAGGGGTAATACCTTCAGACTTCGCAGAACTTCTCCTTTCAGTAGAGTAATTGAACGCCATAAAAGAGGCAGTACATGAACAGGATAGTGGATGAGGTATCCTGAAATTCCTGAGCGTTCACAGTTGACCCGACCACGACTGACTGGCTATACTCTGCGAAAATAAAGCCGCAAAGCAATGGCTGCAGCGCATAGTCAGTGTCAGCCAACTCGTACCCTAGAAAAGGAGCATCACTAAAGGTGGCAGAAGAATCTGAAATTCCTCATTCAATTGTTATGGTAACGAGATTTCCAGGAACTCAGGACTACTCGACAGAGAAAGTCCACCAACTTGTTGAAGGCCACAATGAAGGCCTAAACGTCAAGAACTGGAGGGTCATCAAGCGTGGAAATGATAGCCATCTAGTAACCTTGTTGATAAATTCAGTTTCGAGAAAAACTTTTCCATCGAACTAAGTACAAAGAACAGATGGAACATAGAATGTATCCAGTCCCTTAAAGCAAACACCATCAAATGGTTCACAGACGGCTCCAAAACTGCTGAGGGGACAGGAGCCGGAGTATTCGGGCCACGAAGTTGATACTCGGAGCCAATGGGCAAATCACCAAGCATATTCCAAGCCGAACTTCATGCGATCCGAAAATGCGTGCAGTTCAACCTGAACAGAAGGTACCGAAAACGAGAAATTGTAATAATGTCTGACAGCCAAGCAGCTATCAAAGCATTGAGCTCGCCGGTAATCAATTCTAAGATAGTATGGGAATGTCTACAGAAACTCAATGAGCTGGGGAAGGAAAACAAAGTAACCCTACTATGGGTTCCTGGACACATAGGAGTCGAGGGCAATGAACGCGCAGACGAACTTGCAACAACGGGAGCGGTCACTCCCTTCACTGGGTCAGAACCATTCTGCGGCGTCGGAAATGCGCACCTCCAAGAAATCCTCAAAAAGGAAGAGAACCGGCTAAGGAACAAACAATGGCTAGACCAACCAGGACTACGACAGGCCAAAGATCTATTGGGAAGCTACAACAAAAAAAGATCGGAACTGCTGGTCAACCTTAGCAAGAAAAGTATTCAAAACTCTAACCGGGTTTCTCCCGGGACATTGCAGACTGAATACGCACCTACATAATCTGGGGTTGGAAGAAGGTAACACTTGCAGATTCTGTGGAGACGGTGAAGAAACACCTCACCATCTTCTACTGAACTGCGATGCCGTAAGCCGCTCAAGAATAAAGAACTTGGGAAGTCCCCTTATACAGCTGGAAGACATTCCAGCCCTGGAACCGCTAGACATCCTAAAATTCCTAAAGGACCTAGGACTAGTGGGGCTGCTTTAAGCAGGAACCCCGAACTTAGCAGCAGAAGGAGGGGTACAATAGATCAACCTTGGTCGCAGTGCAACTGACACCTCCAACACATACATACATACATACATAGATACATACATACATAGTAACCTTAACCCCTTTCTGTAGACAGTGAGTTTGCAGAGAAACTAAAATCAGGGAGCGATGTAATCGGTTACAAGTTTGGGCACACAACAGTGAATCCCACAAATAGCGGATTAACACTACCTGGTACGTCCAAGGATACAGACTCTTCAGTACAGGAGGATTCCAAAGGTACCCAAAACCAGAGGTTTGACAAGCCTAAAAGTAGAAAGGAAAGCTTAGAAAAATCCTCCTTCTCTAACCTGGGATCGTATAAATGGCGAACATACAGCCAAAACCCACTAACTTTAAGTATGATAATTCACTCGTGAAATGCATCCAAATAAACCTACAGCCTGCAAAAGCTGCCATCAGCGAGCTTAGAAGAAGGATATAAGACAGGGACTAAATACTTATAAGGCTACTTCAAGAATCTTCAATATTGAATTATGTAAGTTAGTCTACAGTACAAAATATGACAGACCACGACCCCTCTGCTACTCCACACAAAAATTAATTTTTCACTTGTTTCAGAATTTATAACTCAGGATTTGGCAACCGCGTTAGTGGATGTGCCAACAGAAACGGGCTCAAAGCACATTATTATAACATCCTACTATCCAGAGGAAGTGAATGAAGCACCAGCAAAGATGGTCCAACGTCTCATACAATGGTGTACGAGAAGAGACAGGCATTTTATCATCGTTTCCGACTCCAACTCACACCATTAAGAAGAATGGGGTAGCACCAATACAAACATTCGGGATGAGTGCCTTTTTGAATTTTCGAATCTTAACAAAATAGACATAATCAACATTGGCAGCAAACTCACACTCGATAAGAAAAGAGGTCCTAGACGTGACCTTAGCTGATCCATTCATAACATACCTATACAATAACCAACTGGCATGTTTTTGACGAACCTTCCATGTTGGACCGTTAAATGATTAGGTTCGACTTGAAAGCAGCAGCCAGTGTAACAGAAAAAAGGTGAATTCCAAAGATCACAAATTGGGACTTCTACGAAAAAACTGGAAGAACTCCCAAACACCATTGAGACAGAAGAGGAACTAGAAGCAGCCTTACATAATCCAATCAATGCAATCAAAAACTCCTTAGAAAACAGTTGTTCCGTAAAACAAAAGGCATTTCACACTTCACAGGGACGTGCCTTGGTGGAACTGGGCAAAGGCCAATAAGGCTTAAAGATTGAGAATCTACAGGACAGCCTTAACAGAGTACCTACCTACAAATCCTACAATATAGCCTTAAGAAAATCTAAAAGGAGAACCTGGAGACAGTTCTGTTAAGGGATAGATGAGTACAGCACAGTTTCTACAAAAAGTCCTGTCAGAAAACCACTCGAACGTGGAAATTTCTCAGAACCAGCAAAAATGCTGGAATCAACTGAAATTTACTTGTGAAGGACAGCAACAGACAGATAACAAGCCAGAGAATTAGAAAAATTATGTACATAAGACACACAGTAGTAGATGATGTGGAAAACAAATAGCTGATTTCGCTGGTTTATGTACCAAGAATGGCAGATACAAGAATACCCATATGCAAATCATTGAGTGGAAGAAGGATGCGGCAGACCTAGAAGCTGAAGAAGTGAAGTGGACAAGAAAGTGAGAGGCAAAGGCTTGGATAAGGATGCTTGAATTGACAAACATCGTTGGAAATCGCAAATCGGAAGACGTAGAACGTTATACAGGGATATGCATTGATTACAACAATGTGTTTAACAAAACAAATTTAGGAGACAAGAAGCTTTCTAACGCCTGAAAGCGAAGCACTATCCAATTCTTCATGTATTGATACCCCTTTGGACCAAACATAGTGATTCTTGTACAACAGGGGTCTGAGAAATAAAAAAATACAATTCATAGGGATGAATTTTAGGAAAGGAGGTAGAAGGGTGGGGCAAAATAAAAAATACAGACCTTCTATTTTTTTTTTTATAATCTTCGAATAAGTTTTGCTGAATTTATTTCCGGACACCCTGTAGACCAACAACTATATCGTATACATATATCATCTATTCACAATCCGATGTCCAAAGGTGAAGGTAAAATTTATCACCTTTCAGTGCTATTTGATATACCCCGCCTGTAGGAAAGGAAACTGACGTTTTTTATTTAGGTGAATATCAGCAATCATCCTTTTCCATTTTATACAAAAATTCGTCATTCAATCTGAAAGCATTTTGGAAAATCTAAAGGTAAATCCACATGCATATTACGTAATAACGGATGTCCACATCCTTCAGTGGGAAATTGCAACCAGCCCGTCACTTTTGACATCAATTTAAACTAATTTCAAAGTTGACAACTATTTAAAGCTCGAAAGTAGCTATAAATAAAATGTTTCGCTTTTTAATTATGCTTAGTTTGCTGTTAGATATTCCAAATTCTTCATCCTACAGAGATCCCCGACAAAGTGTCATTATACCAGCTGAAAAATGTGACGACCCTAATGCTTTTACGATGAAATGGTAAGTGAAGGAAACATTTGAAACTCTCGGGTATCACCCCCTAAATATTTACTTTTACCGAAATAGGGAAGCCTACTTTTTGAGTCAAATTAGGCCGCAGGCTAAATCCTTTCATGGTCTTAGGAACGTAGAGTGTTCGCTAGCTGGCATCTTTTGGCTCTAATCATTTTGTTATAAAACTTTCTCAAAACTGCATCTCAAAAATCAAGAGTTTTTCAAAATAATTCTGGACATTTTCGTCTGATTTCTCTATAACCCTCTGTTGCGTCTAGGTTAGCAGGTCAGCCTTATTTTTTTCTCCCTTGCATCCTTTTGAATATTTCGACGATAGCTTATTCTTTCAGTCGTTACTTTCTCAATTTCAGAATTGTTGACGAACGATTGGCATCTGGAACATTTTGAGGACTTCATGCCACATTTTGATGAAGAAGAGGGTTCGGATGCCTTGCCTTTTGTTGAATCCATTGGTTTTAAATACGGATTGAGGAGGGGTAATGTCTTAGAGATTGGTTGGTTCGAAACCAGAACTGCAGTTCGGGTCATCCCGGTGGTTGTTGATTTCCTTGAGGACTATTCTTTCTACTCTTTTGCTAAGGCTCGATAGCAGGCTGGTAGGTAGTTTGTCAAGTCAGAAGACTGGCGCTTGAATTTTTTATGAATAAGGATCAAGGCAGCATTCTTCCAGGGAGACGTCTTCGAACGACGTTGGCAAGCTTCTGGATTTGCTTGTCAGGACGTAGAATTCGATAATGCTGGCCATGCTATCTGGACCCCGTGCTTTCTTTATGATGGGTCTACGATTTCTTCACCAGCTGTAAGGCGATGACCCGACAGAATCGCATGGAGAATTATTTTTAGAAGAGGACGTCACAAGTTTTTCCCTGGGATCCGTTTGACGTTTTGGTCAAGTTCCATAGATACCTATACAGGGTGTCCCACAATCAGCGTTACAGGCCATAAGTTTCTTATTTTTAGAAATAAAAATTTGAAAAAAAATATTGACCAATGGTTAGTTAAGCTCTCTTCAAAAATATAAAAGAATCTTCCCCTGACAAAATCATCCCCTATTTACAACCCTTTACTTTTTTTTTTTCAAATGGCAACCCTAATTTTTTGGTCATATTTTTATTTTTGTAGACAGAAATGTGATTGCCTGTATAAGACTAAGGGTGGGACACCCATTTTTTTTCCCCCAAGAGACATGGAAAAACAAACTTTTTATACACCATACAAATTTGTAATTTCATAAGCTTCTCAAAAATAAAAAATAATAATAGGGGTGCCATTTGAAAAAAAAAGTCAAGGGTTGTAAATAGGGGATGATTTTTTCAGGGGATGATTTTTTTATATTTTTGAAGAGAGCTTAATTAGCCATTAATAATTTTTTTGTTTCAAATTTTTATTTTTGAAAATAAGAAAGTTATGGCCTGTAACGCTGATTATGGGACACCCTGTATATGTCTTCGGTGGTCAATTTTTCTGGATTGGTTTTCAAGCTATCGCTCTATATATCCAAAATGTCTCTATTCTCTCTTGTTGAATAGTTGATATATGGTTCAATGACTGAACATTTGTGGTTTTAGCTCTTGGCGAGGATCGGGGTTTTGTGCTGAAAACGGAGCTCCTGTGGAATGTTTATGATATCTTATTCGTACCAGTCAGTAGGAAGTTGCCGAGCCTTTACTTTCATAGAGATATACGCAAGGCATTCGTCTCATAACAGAATTTAATAAAAAGAGTTCAATGGAAATTATACACATGAATAACATTGTGAGGTTGATTTATATTAGTAGGACATTAAGATTGTGAAAATAAGAGAAATCTTCCTAAAAATGAGCTTGTGTTGATAATAATTGATTGGTCATTAAATAATTGAACTAATGAAGGAATGTCTATCAATACAATTATATGAGCCATTAAACCAAGCCTCTGCCATGTTGATAAAATGCAGGAAATGAGGTGGCCGCTTTTCGAATGAAGATTGCTTGCTTATAGCTACATTTGTTCGAATCGCATTTAAAACACTTTATTATAATAAAATTATGGATTAAAAATGAATAATCTTGGATTCAAAAGAGATGCGATACGAGCAAGAATTTACAAGAAATTGCGAGTGCCTAGTATGGAAATAATCAGTATGCATGTACTGCAAATAAATGAATTAATGTATATACAGGGTGTTCATCTCAAATGAAGATCTCCGGAAACCATAAGAGATACGAGTTCGAGTCTATTATTACAATCAAAAAAATGTGCAGGATGGAAAATTAAAGTTTAGTAGGTACTTAGTATAAGCTGATGACGAATCTCCTTGGACAGTCTCATTTTTATAAATTACTGCTCGCCCGAAGTTCTAGAATGTAGGGCCGTGTTTCCAAAAAAAATGTTTCTGATGTTTTTAAATAGTGAAAAATATGGTGTCTCCATCGAAAGTGTAGGTACTGATTGCTAGAAAATATAAACAGATAAATACTAGCTGATTTCCTCAATTAGGTGGTCGATTTCATTATTCACTGTTGAAATCCTTTCTGTTTTAGTTTGGACCAAAATACTCAAGAGATTCCATCAGGGGGAGAAGTTAAAAGGCACGAGAAAATTTTAATCGAAATTATTCAAATTCCTGGAGCGTGTAAATTTACGATTCCAGAATTTCTATTGCTTATTATACCCCCAGGTATGGCAAACATACTGCCTAAAATGGCTCCGTCCATTCCAAAAAATAAATGGTTTTTATTTCGTAGATGAACTATTTGCTAGTAACAAAGTTAATTGGAATGACGCTACAGTTTTTAATTCCGATCCCTCTCGAACAACCAAGTACGGTTTGGAACCATTCACCATTAAAAAGACTGGAAGTGCTACCATTCAGGTTACACCAGTTGAGTTGAAAAAGAAGCAAAATGTTGCTGATCCGAAAACGGTAAGTCTTGGTGAAAATATTTAAGAAATTAAATTCTATACTTAACATCAATTTTATTTTTTTTTTACTCTTGAGTTGTTGAGTGCATTTGGTTTTGAGAAACGAGTATCGTTGATTATTTAAACCTAATTCCCTATGTCGTTCGTTTTGTATAACATTTTCAACAACAAAAACATACAACTTTAGGGACAAAATTGGGCTAATTATGTATTCGAATCAGAAACTTGCGATTTCATACGATTGGGCGGTAAAGTTGCCTCTTACGCCCAGAAATTGGATTATTTAAGATCCTGATAGTGTATACTTAGGACAAAATGTTTTCAATTTGAAGTTAACATTAGGCCGTATGAAATATTATCGACCCAAGTGACCTGAAAACATATCCACACTCTAGAGATTGCAACAAACTCCTCTTTTTACTAACAACAATCACTTTAACAATTCTTCCATTTTAATTAATAAATGTACACAATGGAAACGAATTCCTGAGTATTCTAGTACAGACGCACCGGTCGTGCACTGTGGTATCGGCTTTTTTACACAATTTAATTATGTAACAATGTTATACTTTATTTAGTGCGAAGTGAATGTTGTCTATGCAAAGCCTGAAGTATATTTTGTTGGAGGCAATGAAAAACTGTATAAAGCTAAGACAGAAGCAACAGGTATAGTTCACATATAATATAACATCATTTTAAATCATAAATAATCCCAAATAAATCATTTTAAGTTAAATGCGATGCCAAAAACTTTAATAACAAAGATCAAAGCCAAAAAGGTTTAACATTTAGTTGGCAGTGCGTCGCTTCTAAAGGATCTGCACCGCAGTTTTGTAGCGCAACTAATATGGAAAAATTCAAAGGTTTGTTTTCGATTCTCGTTTTATGAATTGTTCTAGTTTTAGTAAACATTTTAGACCGAAATGCATTGACAATTCCATTAGCTGCTACTAAAGAAGAAAATATTTTCGATATAACATTAAAAGTAGCTCTAAGTGAAAGTCCAGGATTTGAAAATAGTTTAACTCAGAAGGTGCGGTTTCATGTATCCATCGGTACCCTAAAAGTCAAGTAAATATTTTTCTACATTTTTTATGTCATTTAATAATTGGCTCTTGATAATTTCAGATGTTTGAAGAACTGTCCTCCCAAGGCAGAAGTCACTTTGTCATCGATGAGTACAGTTTTGAAAGCTAAATGTTTCCATTGCGATCCCAATGTAGTGATAACTTGGACTATTAAAGATTGTAAGTTTTTGATTTACAGCTGTTCTCCCGCGATATACGACGCGTTGGCAAAATTATGTTAAAATATATAAAGGGTTTCCGTTTTAACTTTGTTTACAATAAAGAAGATAAGGAAGTAGAGATTTAAAGAAGACAGCGACTCGGATGGACAGGTACACTTTTCAGCATATAGCATACAAATTACAGCTCATCCAGAGAACAGTGGACATGATAATGACCGGGCCGAAAAGGGTGGTAATAAGATACAGGAAGGAAAATAAACGAATAAATCAGACGCAGAATGATCTTTTGCAGGTCACGTCTCAAGTTTGAAGGATTGTAGATGGAACTCCTAGATCATCTACTGGAGGTCATGAAATGCAAATACATAAACAGCGCCGAACAGAAATAAGAAATGAGAAATCCCCAATTCTGGACGAAGAAGGATAAAAGAAGAAAAATAAGAAGAGCTGCACGAGCTCTCGAACAAAATTACCAGAAGAAATCGCCTAAAACAAAAATTGTTTTTTTCGAAGACGGAAAAACCCGAAATTCAGCGTAGAACTGATGACAAATAACTCGAATATCATGTTTTGAGTCTGATTTTTTTTTTATCAAGAGTTAGGTAACTGAGCTTCCACAAAATTAGAGATGACCAAGGTCCGCGAAAGATATAGGATTTCGCAAACGGTAGCGAATTGAACGTAGGGTCAACAGCCAGAAAAACTAGAACCCATCGAAAAGAAATCAACTAGAAATACCGCTGAAACAGCTGTAGAACATTGTACCTCCGGGAGAAGATGTGATCAAGAGCGAAATGTTCAAAGTTAGAGGAGTAACAACAGTTATTTTCTTCTCTTTCGTTCCATTTTTTTTTTCTTGCTTTGTAAATTTCCAATTGTATCCAGTATTGATGCTGGAAAGGTCGCACTTATATGAATAGTTAGTGTATTGTCCGTCGTTATTAATCTGACACTTTCCGTATGAGGAGCGAGGGCGTGAAGCATATGGCAAAAACAGGTGTGACGTCAGGTGACCATTGGTGTTCTAATGCAGCATATAAGTAAAAAATTATATAACGCGTGTACTCCATTTACGCAATGAGAGGCGTTTGATGCAAAAATGAGTGAGATGGAGATATCATTTCTGCATAAGTCTATCTTGTAGTTCGTTCCGTCAAATCTACGCATGCCTATAATTACACAGCACTCATTGGTCGTCGAGCATCGTCCGTCCACTACGAAAACGAGATTATCGATCGTCTGAAAACCATGCTTACAGCCCACCAATCACCTCAACTGCATTCAACGCATGCGCACTAGACCAAACCAGGCTAAGCGATAGACTTATGCGAAGTTGATATATCTGTCTCACACATTTTTGCATCAGGGTACAGCAAGAACACGCGTTATATAATTTTTTACTTATATGTAATGAAGGGTGCCACCAGCTCACATTCTTTCGGAGTATCAGATTAAAATCGACGGACTTTAGTCACTTCAAAAAAAGGTGAATATTTTTGAACCTCATTACACGAAAACATATTTGACTGATGATTTTTTATAAAAAAAAAATTTGTAGCAAAAGGAGAGGAGAGCGTAGATTATACTTATCTAAAGAAGAAAGATGGTTTAGTTTTTTATTTAAAAGCAGGCGCCTTAAAGAAAAATGAAAAATATACAGTCAGAGCACAAGAAAAAGGTTTAAAAATAACTAAACATAGTCAAGTTTAATTAGTCATTTTAAATATTCTGGTTTTAGGTTTAGAAGAGACTTCACTACATACTGAATTTGAACTGTTCACCAAGCTACCGGCACCTGTCAAAAATTGTAGTGTTGATCCACCTACAGGTGTGGCATTTGAAACTGGTTTCGCAATAAAGTGCACCTATTTTCCTGGAGATAAAACTTTTGAAATCAATTCTGTGAAAAATGGGAAAAGTATCTAAGCCAGCGATTTCTTAGCATTTTGATTATAAATTTGAATGATTTTATAGCAAGTTTATTAGCAAAGACAACTAATCTGGAACGTGAAGTATTCATGTTACCTGCTGACGTGTCCATTTTAGTCAATGTTTATCATGCAAAGATAGGATTTACTCAAGCAATTAATCTTCCCGTACAGGTACGTTTCTATGACGAAAATGTTTAAGGCATTATTAGAAATATTCTAGGTCAAAGGGGTTCTCGATTTGAGTAACAAAAATACAGATGCCGAAATCAACGAAGCTGTAAGTAATAAAATGGATGAAGCGTTGGATTTGATCAATCAAGGCCATTCTGGGTTGGCTCTTCAAGGTTTGGCAGCGATTGTGGGCGAATATGCAAATTTGCCACCGAAAGTGGATGATCTTAAAAAATCATTAGATAAAGCGGTTATGAACGTAATATCACAGGTCAGTGAAAATAATTCGGAAAATATTTGCTTTCAACAACTGCCAAATTAGCGAGGTATTCATTTTCAATCGGTTCATAACGGTAATAATATATTAACAGGACGATTTCTCGAAAATGGGTCTATATATGCGCATGTGTATGGGGTGCTATTGCCACCTTAAGATGCGTCGCTTGACCCCAATTTTCGAGTGCATCTTTGAAAAAGTGTTATCAGCATCGCAAATTTCTCCCTCTCTATCTGCTCTCCGATTTTTCCTGGACGCACATGCTAAATGGCCTAAATGCTACTAAACTAGAGTCTTTCCGTTCTTCTCCTTTTTTCTATGGATACCCATTTCAGAACTACTTTTGCCTAGAGATCCTTTCTACGTGCCCATAACATGCCTACATCGCATGCTATTATTCTTATACCCTCCATTGACCTATTTATCGTATTGTGGCGACTCTAGCTTGCGTGACAGTAATCTTGGGTTCATTTATTTCAAAATCAAAGTCCAATTAATAGAACAATAATTTATTCCATGTTACTACACACTCTGACACTAATTACTTCATTAATTAACTCAAATAACTTAACTCTTTACAACTTTTATAATAATCACTATCTAAAACGTATCACAGCCAATCCTAATCTTAAAAACTACTAACTAATACCGGTCTTTATATATCTGTAATCCATTCTTATTTATCATGTGTATGTTATCATCGTGATGAATGGTCGATATTAGTAGCACATTCTTTTTTTTTTACGAATATAGGATACCAATTTTATGTTATCATGATAGGTAAACATGCTTGATCCTATCGGTCTTGTAATTGGATTTGAAATTTCTGGAAGTAGTTCCCTTTTATTTTTGATGATAGTACCCAAAAATGTAAGTTTGTAATCATTGAATTATGTGCGCAAAAGTGGGCTGCTAGTGAACCAATTGTCACAAGCTACATTTCGCTTTGAATTTCTAATCGGCTCTACTAGTCTTTTTACCACGGTAGATGGTGAATTATCCAAGCTAAAGGGGCCATCTGGTTGTCTTCCAACATACACTCCCAAGTTGATGGTGTAATAGGTTGTTGAGTCATCGATAGCATAGACTTTAAGACCACACCTTGCTTGATTGTTACATACTGGAATGGCGTGTATGCAGATTTACATTTTTCGACAAAGGAGTCAAAGATATTTCTGATTGGTGTCAGTTTATCTATTTGTCTTCTTTCCACTCGAGTATCCATATTATCAAATCGCAAATGCTGAAGCAAAAACTGAAAATGAAATTTAGACATTGTGAGACGGAATAACTCAACGCCAGTTCCATTTTTTTTGATTTGACTTTAGCACCCCCGCTAAATATAGTAAACTTATCAGTGCTTCAATTTCATAAATATCCGTTTCCTTTGCATTTCTATCTCGGGAATAGTTTTCTTGATATTTTTGAATATGTTGAATGGTGTACTCGACGATTCTTCGCATTCCCAAGTCAAAAAAGTGTTTCCAGATTTCAGATGCACCTTTCAATTGTTTTACAGCTACCTTTGGCCCTGGAAGACGTGTGATGAAATGCCTTTCGAGTTCTGGATGAATGAGGAACATGTTTCGATTATTCAGTCGAACGGCCAACAAAATGAGGAACCACTAAAACTTCCTCCTCAATTTCAGCATTGGGAATTTCTTCCTCAGTTTCACCATCAGTAATTTCCTGCTCAGTATCTGTTTGTAATTCTTGTCTTTATAATATATCCTCTTCATCGTTGTCTTCATCTTCGTCATTTATCGAATCCTCCACTTCTAGTCCCCAGTACATCGACCTAAAAATTTTGTAACTCATGTACACGCCAAACTTTCTGAGCGGCTTCCTAACACCAAGTCGGACAATATTTTTCATATCTCCACCTTGGGCGATGGGACATTGCCGCGCTAGCTCTTCGTGAAGTTGTCGTTCTGACGTCCTTAAGGAAGTTGATACATGTACGTGTAGTTTTAATGCCAATCGACTGTTTTTGACATTATATTAACGATATCACATTTGTCGGACAAAAACCATGTGGCTTTGGGGAAGGTCCGACACCCCCAATATGTCGCTGTGGCGTCCCTAAGGAAGTTGGTACATGTACGTGTAGTTTTAATGCCAATCGATTATTTTTTGTATTTCATTAACGATATCATATATGTCGGACAAAAATCACGTGGCTTCGGAGGGGTCCGACGCTCTCAACATGTCGCTGTGGCGTCCCTGAGGAAGTTGATACATGTACGTCTGTTTTTAATACCAATCGACGGCTTTTTACATTACATTACCGATATCACATTTGTCGGACAAGAAATTTGAGACAATCAATGAAAAAATTAAAATTAGTTTGTCTTTAAGCAATCTGCATATTAGTCAATTTATTATTTACCTACTTTGTCAAATACCTGTGGGGACCTGTGTCATATTCACTGATCTGTTTTTTTTTTGATAATTCTCCGAGTATTTACGGGAATGATTTAGTGAACGGTCGTTGAAAACCACGCGTTTGAAAAAGAATGGATATTCTGTCGTGTTTTTTGTGCGATCTCAGGAGTAGAGATCCTGAATTTCGGCAGAAATTGATCAAAAGGACTTTTGTTGTCCGACTGACTTTAATACTCATTCTTTTTGTCCGACATTTACTACACATGTTTTAAAATTACATTGTTACTCATAATTATTTTTGTCGGACATACATGTATCAACTTCCTTAGGGGCGCCACAGCGACATGTTGGGGGCGTCGGATCCACCCAAAGCCACGTGATTTTTGTCCGACATATGTGATATCAATAATGTAACATAAAAAACAGTCGATTGGCATCAAAACCACACGTACATGTATCAACTTCCTCGGGGACGCCACAGCCACATGTTGAGAGCGTCGGACCTTCCCCAAAGCCACATGGTTTTTGTCCGACAAATGTGATATCGTTAATATAATGTCAAAAACAGTCGATTGGCATTAAAACTACACGTACATGTATCAACTTCCTTAGGGAGGTCAGAACGACAACTTCACGAAGAGCTAGCGCGGAAATGTCCCATCGCCCGGGGTGGAGATATGAAAAATATTGTCCGACTTGGTGTTATGAAGCCGCTCAGGAAGTTTGGCGTGTACATGAGTTACAAAATTTTAGGGTCGATGTACTGGGGACTATTCGTCATCGGCAAAGCATTCTAACATAAGTTTAGTAAATCTTGCTTGCTCCTTTTCATAAGAATACATCTAAAAAAAGTACACAAAATACTTCACTACTCAATAATACATAGAAATAAATAACTTACCTTCGAAGAGTTTTAAAACGCAATGTCAATTTATAGAACACAATAAAGGTACGGTTTGTTAGGATAGTACGCAACGCACAACTGACAACGTAAACGTCGTCATTGGTTCAGGTATGGCGTACACCCGTTGTCTGACGCTGACGCTGACGTCATAAAATGGGTGTACGTCATACCTAAACCAATGACGACGTTTACGTTGTTAGTTGTGCGCTGGTTGTGCGTCGCGTACCATCCTAACAAACCGTACCTTAAGGAAACTTTATTACTGGCCGCGGAAGTATAGAGCTCTACTACTGCCGGCGGATTCTCGCTCCGCATCCCTTCCTAAAATTTTAACGAAGAGCACTACACACGTCAAACTCTGAGGTACTACTGCTAAAGGTACGGTTATTACGGACCACTGAAATATCCCTACCAAATAAGAAACGCTCTATTCCTACTATTCCTAATAACTTATAAGTTAACTCATTTCAACACTTCCGATTGATTCCTATTAACTACCCTCCACCTATTTCTCTAAATTCTTTAAAATGTCTAAGTTCTTTACTGACTGCTTATGAAAACCCAAAATAATTACCCATTTTTTTATCAATATAGGTATTACTAACTTATTCTTATAAAACCTTACAATAATTTCTACTAGAAAAATAAAAATCCTAATTCAAAATTCATTTCATGAACAACAACTTTCCAATATTTTGAGACAATTCTATTTCAAAATTTCCTATTCCATTTGATAGTTTATTTAATCAGAACAAATTCTATTATAAGTTTCCTTTAACAACCTTCCATTATTTTAAGACAACAATTCTATTTCATGTACCATCGTCAGCAAAAGTAACTGGGACAGCATCATATTAGCTCTCGTCCTATTATATGAATTTTATTGTCAAATATTTGTCAAACTTGAATTAAATGCATTGAAATGAATGACAGTAGAATTAGTCCAGGAGATTATTATGCATTATTTGTGTCCCAGATACTTTTGGTGACGATGGTACATCAGTTTTCTTTTCAAAAATTTCCTATTCCATTTGATAGTTTATTTAATCAGAACAAATTCTATTATAAGTTTCCTTTAACAACCTTCCATTATTTTAAGACAACAATTCTATTTCATGTAAATCAGTTTTCTTTTCAAAAATTTCCTATTGCAGTTGATAGTTTATCAGAATAAATTCTATTTTCGGATTCCTATGCCTAGCTAATAAACCCAACTGTTTAATTCATAATCCCTACTCAAAATAGTCAAAATTGTATATTGGTAAGTGCATTATAAATTTCCTTCATATTTTTGGTGCAAAATTAAATTAGAATGTCATTATATCTGAAGGCAATTAAAGTTATGCAATAATGTTCCATTTTCAAAACACTCGAGTTATTGATATTTATGCAATAAAGTTCCACAGTTAATTATAAAGTCAAAAGTTTTTCTAGTAAAAATCACTCAAGTTTTAGGCATTGAAATTCAAAGTTTAATCACACAAAGTCATGTTCATCATTTATATTCAAAATAAATCTTGTCACTATAGAGTACCTACTTACATTTTGTCCATAAAACACAAAACTAATCTAATTTATTTCTTTTGATTACTTAGAGCCCACACATAATGGGCTCTTTCACTAAAATTTAAATACGTAATTTAGGTATAAAATCCCAAAGGAGGGACTATTTTAGGCACATATACCAAAAAAAAATGTTCTACAAGGTTAAATAAGTTTTTTACAGGCATTTTAAACTACCAAAATTTGAATTATTTAAAAACGCGCCGATTTGCTGACGTCGCATAAATATTTTTCATTTCGCTTGTTGTTGGAAAGAGCTGTCCGCCTCTGCTGTATTTATCCTGTAGTAAATGCAGGTAAAGGTTCGAATGCGCTGTTGTCGGTGGTGACTAAATGTAGTGCAACGTAAAATAAATAAATAAAACTAAACATAGAAAATTATATTAAATTGTGTTTAAGCATAATTTCAATAAAAATGTTATAAAATCTTGAATCCATAACTAATTAATTTAACTACTTTTCATGATATTTTGGGAACATTTCAGAATTAAATCTATTACAAATTTTCAATGTTGACAATTAGTGGCAACACGGTCAAATTGCGAGCTGCGACGTCATAGAAATAAATTCTGGGTTTTTATTTGGAGGTATTTCTTTTTTTTCTGTTTTCTCAAGAAGGACTATGAATTTTTCAAAAGTAAAAATACAGAAAATTCTGTTTTTAGTTGCTTTATCCAAATATGCCAATTTCAAAAATTAGTGAAAGAGCCCATTGTTGACGAATTTAATTGTTCTTTCTTTCAAAATTTTTCCACTACTTTTTCAAAGACTGGTACCGAGGCAATACAAGAAACTTTCCGGACTGACACTTTAGGTACTGTAGATTTTAACTCAAACTGGACAGGACTGCGAACTCATCTCTCAACCGACAACTCAACTAACAACTAACAACTGAAACCGCGGTATTTATATTGAATCGATCCCCCCGCAAAGTATTATTAATTATCCCCCAAATCGTCAATAGGCGGTCGTTTGACTCTCAAGCAGACAATTCCATTGGCCTACCTGAATATTATTAAAAATAATGATGCAATTTCCTTGAAATTTTTATCATTTTAAGTTAAAAAAATCGAATAATTATGTCGCAATATCCTGATTTATCGAGGTCAAAACATTATTGGTTCAAGAATGCCATAAATCATTTATAATTACTTGGCCTCGCTCTTTTAAGTTCATTGATTTAGGAGATGACACATGCTGGGGTCGAATTACGTTAGCGTTAATTTGTTTCATTTTTTAATTTATCGATACTGATTTGAGAAATACCGGAAATTAAGTTTTTGATTATGATATTATTTAATTTTTTCAGTAAAGACATTGTGATTTTCGGGTCTAATTTCTGGGTCATAAAAATAGGAACATAATTCTAGAAAGCTCCTTAGTTCATGTCTGTCGCGTGGTTTTGGCCAATTCCTGATAGCATCTATCTTTCCTTCTATATCTTGTATGCCATCTTCAGATACCACGTTACCTAAGAATTCCATTTTCTTTTGAAATAGGAAACAGTTATTTGGATTTAATTTTAAGTTGGCATTCCGGAAGCGGTCAAAAACTTCCTTCAGGTTATTGAGATGCTCTTAGAACGAATTCCCCATGATCATGACATCATCTAAATATATTAGACAAGTTCTTCATGTAAGGCCTCGCAAACATGGGCGTCGTTTGGGGGGGGGGGGGGGGGTTCGTACCGATGGCTGAGTTTCAACCTTCGGTTAAATCCTATCAATTTGCCTGGAGTAAACCGAATGTTGAAACTCAACCATCGGTTCAGTGTTTATAATACCGGCCATTAGACAATTACCTCAACAAATGATGCGGACAGTGAATTTGTTGCGGAAAAAATACCATCATTTTTAACTATAAATATCGAATAAGTACGTTAAAATGCTGAAAAAAGGGGCGCGGCATCGAAAAAAATTTCGCCTTCGGCGGTTGCCAGCGGCGCTATTGCAACTGATCTTATTATAGTGCTGCCCCCCCCCCCCATCTGAGAAATCTCGTAACGATGCCCATGCTCGCAAAACTAGATGCATCAGTCGCTCAAACGTAGTGGGAGCATTACACAATCCGAAAGGCATTACGGTAAACTGGTATAACCCGCTTCCGGTACTAAAGGGAGTTTTCTCTTTGTCATCTTTGCGTATTGCTACTTGCCAGTATCCACTCTTAAGATCCAAGGTGGAAAACCATTTGGAGCCCGATAGAGTTGGTAATGTATCGTCTATCTTCGGGAGAGGAAAGTTGTCCTTGGTGAGTTCATTAAGCTTACGGTAGTCCACACAAAATCTAAGACTTCCATCTTTCTTTTTAACCAATAGACCAATACTAATGGCGCAAACCACGGACTATTTGACTCTTCAATAATTCCCTCTTGATGCATCGAGGTGGTTGTTGTCTACTTGGGTGTGCCGATCTAGTATCAATTTTGTGTTGAATTGAACTGGTCCGTCCGATTTCATTATCCATCACAAATACGTCTGCTTCTTTCAAGATGAAATCTTTGGCTTCTTGAAGTCTATCTGGGTCGAGGTGTTTCCATGATTTCTCCAAAGTCTGCATCAAGGTGTCTGTATCCAATTTCGGTTATACAAAATGTCGTTTATCTGATAGGTCACAGTTCGATAGTTGCTTAACTGTTTCGAGAGTTCCAATAACATCTCCTTCCTTTATTTTTACTATTTCAGAAGAAACACTGACAATTCTTATCATAATGTCTCCATTTGTTCTTGCTAGAATCTTTCCAATGACAAATTTTTCTGGTTTATCTCCAATAAAATTATGTGCTAGTCCAACGCAGCACCCAGAGTATGTTTCCAATTTTCCGCATATGGATCTTCTCAGTACTTCCAGGAATCCTCACCGGGTTTGACGCCAGGATCTTAACGGCTTGAGATTCTTCTTGTGTAGTTAGAGCAAATTCTTCATTACCAAGTTTAAGGATGTTCATAGGAGGATCGAAAGAGAAACCATGTTGTCGTTTAGCTTCTTTTTCTTGTTTTTCTTTTGGTCGCCTGGCTACTCCGTCTTGTTTTTCTTGTTGTCGTTTAGCTTCTTCTTTTTTTTTTTCTTTTTGTCGCCTGCCCTCTTCCTCTTGTTCTTCTTGTTGTCGTTTCGCCTCTTCTTGTTGTCGTCTAGTTTCTTCTTCTTGTTTTTCTCTTTGTCGCTTGGCCTCTTCGTCTTGTTTTTCTTGTTGTCGTTTGGTCTCTTGAAGTTCCAACATTTTACGCAGTAGTTCTTCAATTTTTTGTTCTTCCATTTTTGCTTGATGTCTCGTAATAGGAATTTACAGAATGTTCTTGAATTTTCCTCAAACTTTCTTCAAATATCCTTCCTGGTCTTTGCTTGAAGTTCCAAACACGTCGGTGAAGTCACAAATTGGATAACTTGCTTTATTCTCGAATAGTATGTTCTAGAATTTTCTTCAAGTTTTTTCTGAATGTCGATTGATATAGTAAACACGTCGGCGAAGTCACAAATTCGAATTCCGAATAGAATTTTCTAGAACTTACCTGAAAATTCACTATCACAGTCAAAATTGGGTATACAGTCACTTTCGGGATAATTTACACAATCGGTTAAGTCTCTTTTTGTGATTGTCACTGCTTATACTGATTTACTGTCCCAGTGTTTACTAGTGTCCACACTTAAAAGTAGTCCGCACTATTCTGCAATCGAATTCCACTTATATCTCACTTCTGACACCAATGTCACGACTCTAGCTTGCGCGGCAGAAGTCTTGGGTTCGTTTATTCCAACTAATACCGGACTACATATATATCTGTAATCCGTTTTTGTTAAATCCAGAATAAACGCGAAAATCTCTTTGCCAGAATAAAGCAGTAAAATCTAGATTCAGCTGTCCAATTCTGTACACCCTGGCGCTTCGGCCAGATTTTCGCGACAGTATTCTTCAGTTTGTACCCATTCTTGATACTGCAGCTAATCTTCGCTAGTAATCCATTTCCAGTGACAGAGGATTATGCTTTAATCTTCTAGTCATCGCCATATACCAAGCCTCACAGTAATAGTAGGGAAGAAGAGTTGTAGTGAGTTGTTCTTTCCCAATTGTATGTTATTTGACCAGAGGAGTGTTATATATTGTTATTTACTTATTTCTTTTTCTTATACGCCTCTATCTATTTTTACCCCAAATATATACAAATCTGCAGGAATTGTTAACTTTGCCCTTGTTCAAGGTAAGGCTGTCTGATTCTGCTAAAATATATATTCATATACTATTTTGATTTTCTGTAGTTCACTTTCAGTTCCCAGTTTTTATAGACTCGATAAAGTTTTCTCGTCAGGACGATAACTTCTACACGGTGGCCTGCAAAGAGTGGCACTGCAAGAATAATTGCCATCGTTTTTTTTATTGTTTGCTCTCTTCACTGCACACTTCTTAATTACTTCAAGGCCTCCTCACTCAGAATTCCACCGAGAATTTCTGTAAAGGTCCCTCTATGTTCAAAAAATGAGTCCGATGTGAAGTTGATTACAATTTTTTGTGTAGGTGAATATCGATTGTCCAGCCAAAGCTCAACAAGTTGCAGACACGTTGTCCCAAATTACTGGAAGATATAACGTATCGTCGGATCCTGATATATCAGCTCAATCTACAGCACTCTGTACTAAGGCTGGCAATGTGCTGTTAAACGATGCAAAACAGGCGAAACGACCTGACTTGATGCGAAATCAAATTGCTAATAGCGTTGCGTATGTTTCCTTTTACATTTATTATTAAGTTGAAATTGTGACCAAAAAAATGACTCTTTTTTTTAAGGTCACTATCCCTTTGTTCGCAAGCTGGTTTGAACGTTAACAGAGATTCTGTAGAAGCGAAGAATTCTTCTGTGTCTGTGCCAGAAGAGGTACCAGTACTTCCTTCTCATCAACCTGTAGAATCTTATCCCGACTATACTGACGATGAACATTCATCAGAGAATATGGCTAAGGTGAGCTTTAATGCTTATTTTATATGCAAGCTGCAACAAACTTCATTAAATTGTTCGAAGCTGTCGGAGCAAATATTTTCGTTGCATGTTAATATAATTTATTCTTTGCAATTAATGGATCAATTCTGTGCATATCTGCAAGCAAATCTATAAATTTCTATAAGCCTATAGCTGCCTAAAGACAATTCACAATTCTGCACTTCCTGTAGAATACAGAATATCTTATAGGATTGTAAATATTTCCGATCGGGTGTTTGGTAATCGATGCGTTTTACAGTGTCTATAGGCTTATAGAAATTTATAGAATTGCTTACAGACGTGCACAGAATTGACCCGTTAACCCTATAAATGGTGGTGTAAAGCTATAGTAGCAAATAAATAACTGTGTATCATAAAACATAAGAGTTGCAGTATGTAGATATTCAAGCAATAGACAAGCTCGGTGAAATTCTAAATGAAATGAGCAATTCAAAACTCATTCAATTATGGTCGAAGTCGAGGGAGTTTCTGTGTGGCTCGTGGAAGAATCAGGAAAATCAAACCAGAGTATTTCGAACTGAAAAGAGAAAACAACAGTCTCGTTAGATATATTTGCTGGAAATACTGTTGGTTTGAATTCAATTATAGGTCGTACAGAAGCCGTATCTTGAACGTGCGTAATCAGTAATTTCATATCTTCTTAATTATCTACTTTATATCGGCTGCCAAACACACATCAACTGCTTCAAACTTACTCATTACTTTTGAAATCTTTGTCTTTCGCTTAAAACCTGGTTGACACGGTCCAAGTGTACTTGGACGCTGCGCGCGCCTCACTTGGACGATACTGGATGGATCGTATAACTGTAGTTCAAGTTCAGTTGGATGGGTTCGGCTTCTAACATCCAAGTAAATGGACTGGCTGCCAACTTACTTGATGGGCCAAATTATCATCCAAGCATACTGGGACCAATAGCACTTGGACCGTATCAAACCGGCTTTATTGAGAAAATGCGACGAGTATATTCGTCATATTTTTTATCACTCTTTATTACGTGATAAATATATGGTTTCATAAGTGTGGCGCGCTTATAGTTATTTGAAACTGCAAATATATATTTTATTTCAGTTTGAAAAATCCACACAACGTATGGAACAAATTTGTTTTACTAACGGGAAAATGTTATCCTTCACTTTGTTACCAGAGGAGGATCCTATAGTAACCACTGTAGAATCGGTAACAATCGTTGTGGCACGAATGTAAGAAATCTGGTTTATTCCAACCACTGGCTATTTTTGTAACACTATTTTTTTTTTAGGTACTGTGATGATACGTCTCATCTCATCGTTGAATCCCCAGACGTTAATCTAAAGCCTAACACAGATTGTCATTTTGATAATATTCCGATCATAGACATTTTGGTGAGTACTCAAGCACCAGATTAAGCCGCACCAGATTCGAAAACGTGATTCAACTTGGAGAGCACTCATTCATTATTGCCATGCTACTTTTAGTTTTTAGCCATGGTTTTTAGCATTAGAAAAATCGACGATCCTTTCAATCGTAGGCATATGTCTTCCATTATTGTTTGGACCAAGTTCGCTTAATCAGCGCCCGGGGTCTTTTAGCATGTTGAGGATGTTCTTGGTATATATTTCTACAACCTTGACGAACGAAGTCCTGCCATCAGAGTGATCCAGTCAGTTGCCCCATAAATAGTAACTCAGCTTCGCTGTGAGCTGCCTTGGGACGAGCAATCCATGAACGACTGTTCATTGAAATCCGCTTCCTCTAGTACATCCTAGATTTCTACTTCAGGGCATCTAAGTCCAGATCATCTCGAGCCCCTGACTCTTCTTGCACTATGGAATTACTGGGCTTGTAGGGAGGTGTGTCCGCCGGGGGATATCGTCGTCACCGTTCTTCTTTGCCTCTCCGTGAGCTTTCCATCCAATTTTGGGCCATTAAACCAGTCTCTACCGACTGACTCCCTAACGTCATCCGTCTATCTCCCTTGTAGTCTGCCGACACTGTACCTATCACTCTGTCCATCTCCACCTAACATGCCTCGCTACGTGTCCCACCTAACTTCATTCCATTTCGGCCACTCAATCTGTGCTCCTGACATACATGTGTTTACTACCATACAAAGGAAAAAAGCATTATTAAAAATTGCTGAAGCATTCGTGAGGCTTGTTCTCTCTTTTTTGTAGGAAGAATTAAGAAATCAATTTATGTCAACTTAAATCTTATGATCTGTTTTTTCTATTATAAAATTCGTTGATCCATGATATCAGCATTGAATCTTAAAGTCTTAAAACTTTTTGACAAGCGTAGTATCTGGTATGGATTAAGCTCGAACTGAAATAAAGCTCAAAAAATATTTCAACAACTTCTACCTTTTAGATATGTTCGACGAAGAAAAATCCCTTTTGGTATATTGATAATATTCCTATGCTTACTCCTGTAATTTATGCAATATTTAGTGGAAATCCAGCTGGAAAATCGTCTTTCGACTTAGATCTATTTGGAAGGAGCCCTGAGAAAGAAGAATTTAAGGGTTGATCTATCTGGCTGGAAAATGAAAATAATGTCTTCTTCAAAATATATTTTTAGATGCTCTCCATTTAACACTTCCAGTTCATGAAAATGCATCAATTAAACTACAAATCCACGAAGCTCAACTGCCAGATAAATCAATCGGAGCTTTGAACGAAGAGAGCTTTTATGAAAAAGTATCCACGCATCGTATTTTTGTCTTCAAAAATCGAAGTTTTTCGGTATCTTTTGAAAATATCACAGGCACTGACATGTACGATGTAAGCTTTAAGTTTGTTTATGTATGATACAAATCTTCTCTGAGCCATATTTTAGATTATGGTTACCAACTTCAAAAAACCTAGCTATGAGCAGTTTAAATCTCTACATAAAACCATAACTCCCGATGATAATGTTATAGATATAACGCAAATTAACAACTATGACAGTTTTTGGTATCTCAGTTTATTACCTAACGGGATCGTGGTGATTAATTCTTAATTGGGATTCAAAATTGTTAACAATATTAATTTTAGCATTCCACTTCTAACAAAAATTACACATTTTCTGTATCAACTACAGGTTGCTACGCGTGGAACGTTACTGCAAAACAATGGTATTATGCGTGTCATGTAATAAAAACGACTTAGCAATCCTTCATTCTAAAAATTATATTTTAACAGGGTGCTGCCGGCCAATTAACTTCCCAAAATATCACTTGCTATTGTACTCATGGCCAAATTTTCACTGGTTATGTAATAGACAATAAAGTTTCTTTTGAAGAAACTTTAATTTTGGATTTTGAGCTGGAATTGAAATTTTGCTGGATCATTTATGGAGTAGTACTGGTAACACTTGTTCTGTTTTGTTCACTTTTGTTCTTATATTCGTTAGGTCGAGAAGATAACGTAAGTATGCTTGTTTAATGAAAATACATACATGCAATTTTGCTATTATTAGATTTTAGATAAAGTGTTTTTTGTTGGAGATATACCCAGTTATTACCAATATGCTTACGTTATAAATATAAAAACAGGTCGTAAGAGGCATTCGGGGACTACATCGAATATTTCCATCAAATTATGCGGAACTGAAGGTGAAAGTATGGTAAATTAGTTCCTGTTTACTACTTACCCTTAAAGTTAAGGAAAAAATTGGCTACCAGGATATATATATAATAAATAAATAACAATAATACACTCAATACACTTAATAATAATAATTAAAGGAAAAAAATTGAAAAACCTCTGTGTTTCTGATAAAAGGGAGAAAAAAGGGAAAAGGGAAAGGAAAAAAATGAATAAAATAAGAAAAAAAAGAAAAGCAAAAAACTTCAAAGTAGCATTGTACTTGCACACTGACTGAAACTAAGATATTATGTATATCGAAATTATTTAGATTTATATGTACACACACAAACCGAAAGGTTAATCGTGTACAAAAGGAATAGTCTTAATTTTGTATTTAATTTTTTTTGGAAATAAATGATTTGATTCGAATATAATCGGTTTATAACGTTCTACGTCTTCCGATTCCCGATCTCCAACCATCTCTGTCAATCCAGGCATCCTCTCCTAAGCCTCTGTCTCTCATTTCTTCGTCTACTCCACTTCTCCAGCTCCTTCTCGGTCTGCCGCGTCTTCTTCTTCCCCTTGGCTTCCACTCGATAATTTGCTTGGGTATCCTTGTATCTGCCATTCTTTGTACATGTCCGAACCAAATTAGCTGTTTGTCCTTTATATCATCTACTATTGTGTGTTTTACGTCCATAATCTCCCTTATTCTCAGATTTGTTATCCTTTCCATCTTTGACCTGCCTGCGGATCTCCTTCAAAAGTCCATTTCAGTTGCTTCCAGCATTTTGCGGTTCTGTTCTTTAGTGGCCAGACTTCTGAGCTATATGTGACTATGCTTTTGACTATGGTGTTGTATATTCTAGTTTTGTTAGTTTTGTTGATATTTTGGTCTCACAGTACACCATTTAGTAGGGATATTGCCTTGCGTCCCTGTATATTCCGGTCTTTAATTGCTTCGTCTAGGGTTCCTTCACGTGAGATTTTCATGCCCAAATATTTGTATTCAGTACATTGTTTTATTTCGTGTCCGTTATTCAATTTCAGAGTTTGCTGTTCACCTCCTATAGTCATATATTCTGTTTTAGTTAGATTTACTTCCAAACCCCATTTCTCGTATTCCTCTATCAGTTTTCGTGTCATGTACTCTAGGTCATCATAGTCCTGTGCAATTACTACTTGATCATCTGCAAACCTTAAAGTATATAAATTGTATTCATTGAGTGGTATTCCCATGTGTCTGCATTTGTTTTTCCACCCCTTAAGCGCTTGCTCTAAGTATATTTTAAAAAGCGTTGGTGATATGCAACATCCCTGTTTAAGTCCTTTAGTTGCTATAAAGACTTTACTGATCATGTTTCCCTGTTTAATCTTGGTCTTTGCATCACTATAGTCACCGGTCACAAATTTAAATCCGCGACCCCTAGTGAGAGATGTCAAAAGTTTTTGTATTAATAGTTGGTCAAATTTTCACTAGAATTTCGAAAAATCATTCGAAAAATGGAGCTGGAAATACATTTTGGTTTCCAAACTATAAAATTTAATCACCACGAAGCTGCATACAAAAAAGGTGTGGCTCTAGTGAAAGCTGAACAAGTATTCCAAGTAGTTGAACGAAAAGTTGGAGGGGACTTGACCACAGAACGACTTGACTTATCCATTTTGAAAGGGCATGTTATGCGCCAAACCTCCATAAACAAGTCTCCTTATGCTGTTGAACTACAGGTAGGTATGACAATAAAATGAACGCTACAAATCCTTGACTGTCTTTCTGGCTCCCACCTTTTTTTGAATTGGATCTTAAAACGATAAAGAGTGAAGTAACCAAATGAATATGAAAACTCAGTGTGTAGTTCCTATGAATAGGTGTGAAGATTAATGTTGATAGAAGTAAGTAGGAACTTACATTTTCCTTCTGATAGCTTTAATCCATTTTTTACGTCTTTCCTGATCATGGGACCGACTAGGAAAACTGTAGAAGTGAACATTTCCACTTAGATAGGGAGACGACCGCATTTTTCCTACCCCGACATGTGTCCACACTATTATCAATATATAGTATTATGTGCATCTATTAAACGGTATTCCTGCCTGAGAGCGAATGCTGCCGGAAATATCTTTTATCAAATTATTAACAAATTGAAAAAAACATAACACTACCCCCATCGAGTTATGCCCTAAGTAGGGTATCAGATTAAAGGTCTCGATGTCCTCTATCTAAAAAGTCGATCCTGCCTCGTGAGAACTTGCCGGAAAAAGGAGGCAAGGCAGCTTATTGGGGCAAGGGCCCGCGGTCTCATTAAAGGTGTCGAAGTTGATTTAAAATCTCTCCGCACAGAAATCCCAAATCAGAAGGAGTGAATTTCATTGGTTGGAACTAGTTTCCTCACTGTTTCCAACCAATGAAATTCGCTCTGACTGGTTTGTGATTTTTGTGCGAACAGACCTTAAATCAACTTATTGACACCTTTAATTTGACACATCATTCAGTGCAAAACTTGATAGGTGTCAAAGCTGAGACCGCAGGCCTTTGCTCCAATAAGCTGCCCTGCCACCTTTTTCCAGCAAGTTCTCACGAGGCAGGATCGACTTTTTAGATAGAGGACATCGAGACCTTTAATCTGATACCCTACTTAGGGCATAACTCGATGGGGGTAGTGTTACGTTTTTTTCAATTTGTTAATAGTATATTACATACCGAGTAGGGAAGTGTTTCATTACTGTCGAGAGATTTATATAGTCAATCGAGAAGCGAAGCGTCGAGATTGACTATTAATCTCGAGACAGAAATGAAAACTTTCTTCCGAGGTTTGTATACTATTTTACACACCATTAACTATGATTAGTCATTTAATTTTTTTAATATTAAGAAAATAAAACAAACATGCCAAAATGTGTCATTCACTGTTTTGTCGTTTTTACCTGACATGTTCTCATTGTTGCCAGCAAAGGTGAATAAATTACAGTGAGGGAAATCGGTGAGGGAAGTCGAATAGGGAAATCGGTGAGGGAAATCGAAGAGGGAAGTGACACAGGTAAAGTGACACTTCCGAATTTTAAAAAAGTCAGTAATGACAAGATTACATATATGGTTGCAAATAAAAGATATTTACCTACGAGCGTGCGGTAAAGTGCACTTTACCGCACGTTTTTGAACATGGAAAGTATCACTTTACCGCACACTATGCGGTAAAGTTAACTTTACAGCATAGTGTGTGGTAAAGTTAACTTTACAGCATAGTATGCGGTAAAGTGCACTTTACCGAATACTTTGTAGTCCACTTTACCGCATAGTGTGCGGTAAAGTAGAACTTGATATTTATAATCAAAATTCCTTTCTTTCTCGGAAAAAGCATTTTTGATCCTTTCTAAATTTAATCTTATTCCATTAATTAATCTGATTCATTAATTAATTTTATCAATGCTTTTTTTGGAGGTGTAGATGCTCATAGGTAAAATTTTGTACCTAACACATGCAGAAAGTGCCTTTACCGCCCTTAACGGCTGCCGTTGCGTGCGGTAAAGTATCACTTTCCGCATTTGTTAGGTAAATAACTATTCCGGCGCGGTCGTCTCCCAGACTAAGGGCGGGTATTATAAAACTACTTTGAAAGTTAACTTAAAGTTAACTTCTGGAATTACATGTAATTCAAAAAGTTAACTTTCAAAGCAGTTTTATAAAACCCGCCCTAACTTGTATTGGCATAATTATTGCCACAGTTAACAACACAACAATCAAACAATTTTTGAAATTGTTCCTGGGTAAAGGCATGACAAGTAGTGGGTATGCACAATAGCCTGAATTAATGATAATAAAAAGTGTTTGGCAAATAATAATTACAAGAAAAGAAGTGTAATCAAATATAATTGTTTCGTGTAAACAACCATACCTTTATAATGAAATATATTTCGCTTTGAAATCGTTTTTAATAAGAAAAATTACATTTATGTAAATGGAATCAAGCACTTGTCATAATACAAGAACTTACGTTGTTGTCGAAAGAGGGCGCTACTGTAGTTTATAGACGGACTCTATAGACGGTTTTTACTGCCTTTATTAGTTCTAAATTGATATTGGTTTTTTCCAGTGCTTCCCAAAGCTTTTTCAGCGGAACATTGTCATATGCTTTCTTTAGATCTATAAAGAGTAAATGGAGTTCTTGGTTATACGCTAGTTTCTTTTCTATTACCTGGGTCAAACTATGCTACCAGGAAAATGTCGTTAAAAAAAAACAGTAAAACAATAGTATATGGTTGTATCAGGAGTAGAAGCTTTACTTTTTTAATGTAAAGCAGCTATTTTTACTCCAAACGAATGGGGTAAGCTCGGGGGTAACTGAATGGTTGAGCGGCAGTAAAAGTACGAGCGGTACTAATAGTATATTGTTGTATTAGGAGTAGAAGCTTTACTTTTTTGTGCTGAAGCGGTAGGTTTGCGAGCCGAACGTAGTGAGGCTTGCAATACTGCTGAAGCACAAAAAAGTGCATCTACTCCGTATGCAACACGCTATTTTTTCTCCAAACGAATGGGGTAAGCTCGGGGACAAGTGAATGATTGAGCGGCAGCAAAAGTACGAGCGGCACTAAAAGTATAGACTAATATATATAGGAGGTAAATAGACTGGACTCTCCAATGATGACATATCATGTCGTATTTTAGCGGCCTCTGCCGACTGAGAGTGAACTATAAATACGAGTTCGGTCATTTTCTGAAAGATGGCACTTTATTATTGATAGTTCACTGTACAACCCTCTTCAAACAGTGGCGACAATAGAGGTCCCGCCGCCATATTCTTGCAAATTTTTGATATGAATAATAGGATATAAATGAATATCCTCTTTGGATATCCATATCTATCATAAAAAAGTGAAAATAACGTATTCAAATTTTAGTCAGAGAAATATGTTACCTTCAAATTTTGATGATAGATATCCATTTATATCCAATAATTCCTATGTATTCATATTTGAAATTTCAAAAATTTGGCGGCGGGGCCTCTATTCATCGTCGTCACTGTTTGCAGAGGTTTGTCGAGTCCCTAGTTTTTCACAAGAATAAACACAATCAAAAGACAATTTAAATTTAAATTTTGACGTGTCGAATGAACGAAAAGGTCAAATGACAATGACATTTCCGATGAACGATTCAGTATTTATTTAATTTTCACTTCCATAACTTCAGTTTTATAAGACCAGCAGAGCCATCAGCGGTCACGAGTGAACTAAAAAAGCTGGCTCAAAGCGGTAATATGAGTGCGCGGACCATGGCTGGGGTTG